TGAGCAGTGCGGCACCAGCCAAAACATGGTGACCCAAGCGCTAAAATTACAGAAGGAAAATTATTATTATTCTATCTACAAAGATCTATAAATAAGTAGAGTCAACTTAGCTGCTACTAGCTATAATACTGTGGAAGATAATAGTTTATTTTTGATTGGCCTTATGAACAGACACATTTATATAGAATTTACAAGGTGCTAGAAGCAAGGACAGCCACACGAACAGGATGGCCAACATTTTACGAAAGCCAAATATACTCTTTATCCCAGTGCGAACAAGTATAAATACCACCACAATGAACAAAGGACTCGAGCGGTTTGTTTGCCGCTTCTAAGCTTATTTTTTTGTCCAGTAGCAAATGCCACGCCCCACGCCCCCACACCCGCCACAGCGCCCATCGCTATAAGAAGCGTAAAAATGTGAGCGAAAAAGAAATCAAAAAATAAAATGTGAAAGGAATTAAAATTGGACGTTGGCGTTGGCTAAACAAAACAAATGGAAAGCCAGCAAGCAGCCAGCAGTCAGCAGGACCAGGACACTCTCCCCAGCTGCCTCCGCTGCGCCGCTACCCCACACCGAACAATACAATTGCCAATGCAAGCTACGCTTAATCCTTTTCAACTTTCGTCCTGCAGCTCATTATGCGCGCCCAATGCCAATTTTAATGGCCCAAATCCGGACTCCGGCGCTATTGTGTGTAAAAACTACGCTGCTTTTTTGATTAATTATGTGCCGAATGTGAAGGGTACTCCAGAGTGGCTGGAATTCCGAGAATTCAGCTTGTTTTAGCTAGTCAAATAATGTGTTTACGGCTAACATCAACTTGAGCTTATATACATGGAAATCAATAAATTATTTTTAAAATATATTTAGCATTTATATTTATACATTTGTAGCTAAAAATAGCGGCAGATTCCTTTTTTAGCTCAAGCTAAATATAGTTGGCAAATCTTACTTTGGCTCTAGCTAAATTTATGGCTGCGCTGTCAGCGGCGGCTGCTTTAGCTTGCTGAGATTTAGCTTGTTTTACGGCTAGTTTTGACTTGTTCAGCTGTTAGCAGAAGATCTGGCTCAGTTTTTTCACGCCAAGAACTTTTGGTTTTTGATACAATTTCAAATGTTTTGAGATTAATAGATTCAGTTTGAATTTAAGGTTAATGGCAAAAATAATCATAGTCTTTTTAGTATTACTATATCTTGAATTAAGAAGCGCAAGAAAATAACTTTCTATGTAAACATTTTAAAGTTTCATTTAGACCCTAATATCACGTCTTAAAAATATTTTTGCAGTCTAGATTTTCCCTCAAAATAGTCAAAAGTCTTAGCGCTTTTAATTTAATGTCTAATATTTCAAATAAAATTTAGCTTTTTATAGCCTTTTCTGTTTATTCTCTCAGCACTCGCCGCCTTTGAGCATATTTCAACTGAGATGGCCACATTGCCCCTCGAAACGCTCAAAAGTAATCGCTGCATTGTCTATTTTGACATTTGCTCTCTCGACTTTTGGGGGCTTTGGTTTGGGTGATTATGTCGGACGCACCTTGTCTGACCGCGCTGCCAGTTCTGCCCTGCCTCTTTATCAAATGCGTAATGAGCGCACGTGAGTTGCATGCCACATGGCCAGGAGTTCGGGGTTGGGTCAGCAAGCGAAGCTTATGCTTTTTTTTTTATTTGTGTATCTCTCTCGCAGCAGCTGCCGACGGCTCGACTGTTAATTACAACTTAAATTGACAGCAAAATTGGCCTGGCTAAATTGTGGGTTTTAGCATGCGGTCGGCATATTAAGCGCGGCTCCAGCTGCAGACAAATGAAGACTTAAGACCTACTTAACTCAAGGCAGCCAAGAAAAAACTGAGCTGAACAAAAAAATCAAAATTAGTCAAAAGCCTGTGCGGTTGGGAGGTCACAGTATTTAACCCTAATTTGACACACACACACACACACACGGAGGAAGTCACAAATAAATACACATACATGTTTATCAAGGGTTAACAAAAAAGGCGATGAAGAAACAAGCTAGAAGCGTATGCTACATGCCATTATGTCAGGCAATATCAATAAACGCCGACAGCAAAAAGGGGTTGAGCGGAAACGGAAATCGCAAGCAAAGTGCTGACATGTGCCGTGCGTTCACACACATGTCTGGGAGTATGTGTGTGTGGGTGTATATGTTGTGGGTGTCAAGTTCCTTTTCACGCGCAAATTGAGTGCTTAAGCGGTTTAGTTGGCAGTTGGGCGCTTACCCGGAAACTGGCGTAGGCGTGCATAAGCCGCAGCATTCGTCTTGGCATTACACTTAAGAGCAGCCATACACACACATACACACACACGCCCACGCAAAGCGAGAAATACGCTCACATGTTTATGGAGATTGTGGCTGCCCAGCTAGAAATTGTGCTTTGAGCCACGCCCCATGCATTTAAAATTCATAGCGATTTACTTGATTTGCAAAATATTATTTATTGTCAACGCCAGCTAACTTTGGCGTGTGTGTGTGAGTGTATTTGTGTGTGTGTTGGCAGCGATAAGGCCAATGTCATTTGCATGCGGCATACAAAAGGAAGCGCGCTGCGGAAATAAAAATCGCTAACAAATAGCAGCAGCAGCAGCAGCAGCGGCAGCGGCAGCGAGTCGCGTGCCAGCCGCATAATTTGCAGTTGTCTTTATATTGTGGCATACTTACAGGCGGCGCATAAAAGTGCCACACACACACGCTGAGAGAGTGAGAGATAAAGCTGGCAACGCACTGCCTCATTTGTTGTTATTTATGCTGAGCCTTGGCATTGGGAATACCCGCCGCCGCACACCCTCAACACACATTTCTGCTGCCTCTGCATGCTGCAATTACAGCTGTGTGCGTGTGTGTGGCACATACAGCTGCGTCTCGCATGTCTATGTCCTTTGCGTATACAAACATCTCATAATAATAAACATGCCTGGGCGCAACTTCTTCTTTTTTTATGGCCGCTCAATTGATACAAGAAATTATGTTTTTGATTTTTATTGCGCTGCCAAACATATGATGTTCACACACACACACACCCACACACGCCTTTGCATATGCCGGGATTATATATAAACATTTCCATTTGCCTGCCTAAGGACTCGCTCGAAAAAAACTTCAAACTCAAATTTCATAAGCATTTCTTTCACATATGTGGCTAGGCAAATACATAAATAAAAAGCAATAAGACTTGGCTACAATTGATTTTGGTTTGATTTTGGTCTTTAAGGGCAACCCCTAATTGGGCAGCAAAGCAGCATTAAAGGATATCTAATAGTCGCATAACAATGGGCTTACTTATGTATACTCTCTATATTCATAAATGAATTCGTAACTAGCTTAATTCCGTTGCATATTCTTAGAGGCCATATCAAGCCCGATTGAACTCTTCAAAGAGCAAACAACACTTTTCCAGGGTATTCCACAGTTGTATACTTTCCAGCTATTGTGCTCTTAAGTACTTTAATTAATTTGCCAGTGCGCTTAGTTGATGTTTTAGTCAATTTGAAGCTTGTCCACTAGCAGTTCTCGTTTCAATTCAATTGCTGGCGACTGCAAAGCTCTGCCGCTGAGAGCGCGCCAAGCGCTTATCGTTTACGATCTTCGAGCTTCCGAGCATTCGGTTCGCATCGGGTGACACCAGATACCAGACGATATAAGGTTTTATATTTTATTTATTTATTTTTTTATTATCTTTTTTTTGGGGTTGATTGAATCAGACGCCCAACCACAGAGACAAACTGCGGGGGTTAAAAGGCAAATCAACGCAGTCTATTGATTTGGATGGCAAACACTTAGACTAGGGGGAGGCTGATCTATGCATAGATATACATATAAATGTTTTACAATTTCTAGCACCCCACACCACAAATTGATATAGATATATATTGAAAATGTAACAAGGTTGTGTTCGCCAATATTTCCGTATCGATAGAGCTGTTAGCTATGGCTATATCTAATGAATACTTTGATACACTTTAAATAAAAATACTTAAAGCCATTTAGATCTAAAAAAAAAAACACTTTATAAGACTTCTACTTTTTTGTACAAATGTTTAGAAATGTTATACAATGCATTTGAGATCTAATGAAAGTTATAATGAACTCTTAATAATCACTTTCATATTTAAAAAAATAATTATTTTATGACTCCTAAAAATCTTAGACATAGTTAAGAGTTAGAGAAGAAATATACATATTTTTTATTTTCTTCTTGAAGACATTAACTCATATAAAACAAGCGCCACTAGGAATATTTCATATATCTATCAAACAAAATATTTCATCATGCATTAAATTTAAAAAATTTAATTTGAATAAAGTCTTTGGCATAAATTTAAGAATTCTTAGAATTATAGTAAACCTATAGTAAACCAATACTAGACAGTTTTTTTTTAAAACTATTGCTTATAAAATCTTCCAAAAATCTGTAGTATTACAAGTATTTTAATATATGAGTAACACTCTCTTTTTTGGAAAATTTCTAAGTAATTTAAAATATTCTTCTTCAATAAAAATTTTATAATAATTTAAATTAATGCGCACAGCTTTCAAAAATTGTATAAAACTCAAACACTTTGAGCTGTTTTTATTTGTACATTTCAATTTGAAAACTTCTGAGAACTTTCCCATCAAATTTCACCTTGATAACCCTGGATATACATATGTTTATTTATTATACTTTTGAGTCTGTCTGTGATCCAAGTGCAAGCACCGCCTGGCAAATCTAATAAAGAATTTTGTGCTCTGCACACACACATTGAAGAATTGATGTCACTAACACAGTCACACACACAGACGCAGATAGAGACACAGACACAGACATAGTGGGAGATCAACGCAGAATTGGAATTAGCTTTTGAAGACTCGACTCGAAGGCGAGGCACTCATCTACTCAACAGCTCAACTGCTCATCTACGACTTGGAGCAGATTTCCACAGATAATATAAATCCAGCGTTTAGCTTAGTTTAGTATGGCTACGCTTACGGTTACGATAATATCGTCGTGTTAAAGACGAGCTGCAGCTATATAGCAGCTATAAGTCGCTGATCTAATCTAGATTTTGTGGTGTGAAACAATTTAAATCACTAAAAAAATCTGTTGCTCGCTAAAGTGTTAATTCGCTTGCTTGAAAGTAAATTTATGCTATATATACTATATATTATATAAATGTATATATATAGAGCGATATTTGTACAGCACATATATTATGATTCAAGCACAACATAATCAAGATAAAGTTCAAGTGATAAGCAGCGCAAAAATTTAAATATGCTAAGTGAATTGTGGCGTCGACAATAAACACACAAGCGAACATGCGAGCATCATACATGCTGTACACGAATATATATACTATATATACATAGCTGCACATACATACATACATACATATGTACATATGTATCCATGTACATTACATGCATTAAATAATAGAACACGTTGAGCACACCTACACACACGCGCGCTCGGCTCTTGAAAATCAAAATAATAATAGAAAGAATGAGAATGGGCATGAGAATGCAAAACGCAGGAAAGAGATAGAGAATGAGAATGAGCGGGATAGAGCGTGAGACAGAGAGAACAAGAGAAGCGCCTAGAGAGCTACGTGATTAGAGCTGATGATGGGGGAAAATGTCTAGAGAACTTTGAAAACAAAATACAGATGTTATCTACGATGAGCTAAACGTAAAATACCCTGGAATTTGTATACTATATTATGAGTTAAAGTACAGTTCAGTATAATAATGAGAAATGCAAAAGAGAGTAAGACTGAGAATAAAAAGACACAGAGAGGAAGAGACGACGAAAGAAAAAGAGTAAAACTAAAACCGATAGAGACATAGAATCTGCAATGAAACAGTGAGAGGGAGCGAGAGGCATAGAAAGAGAGAGATAAAAAGGGAGACAGTGAAAAGAAAAGAGAGAGTAAGCCTGAGAAAGCAAGATAGTCAGAAAGAGAGAGAGAGACAAAATGAGAGAAATAGAAAACGAAAAAAATAAAGTGAGAATGAACGAGACATAGAGAGAGAGAGACAGAGAGAGAGAGAGAGAGAGAGACAGAGAGACAGAGAGAGAGAGAGAGAGGGACTGAGAGATAGAGAAAGAACGAGATGTTTAAACTAGAGAGAGAGAGAGAGAGAGAGAGAGAGAAATAAAAAAAGAGAGAGAGAGAGAGAGAGGGACTGAGAGATAGAGTGAGCTAGAGAACGAGATGTTTAAACTAGAGAGAGAGAGCTATATCAATACAAAGAGAGACAGAGAAAGGGAACAATACCAAGAGATCGAGATAGAGTAACAGATTGAGAGAGAGTGATATAAATAGAACAAAAAAGACAGAACGAAAGAGAAAGAGATGGAGAGAGAAAATTAGAAAGAAAGACAAATGGTGAGAGATTGAGAGCGTGAAAGAGAAAGAGAGAGTGAGAGAGAGAGAGAGAGAGACAGAGAGTGAGAGAGACAGAGAGAATAAGAACGAGACAGAGAGAGTAAGGGAGAAATACAATAGGCAACGAGAGAGAGAGAGAGAGTGAGAGAGAACGAGTTGAAAAAAAACCTTTTGATATAATAGAAATATAAATGGAAAACTAGATAAACATAATTCTACAATATTCTAAACTCAATCTAGGTTTTTAGTTTAATAAGATTTTAATCAGATATTCCAATAAAATTTGAAATAATTTAACAAGTTTGAAAATCTTTTGAGTTATTTAATGAAAAATGTCATAAAAAATATTTCTAAGAAATTTACAGAAATTACAACTATAAAACATATATAAAGATAGATGTGTATATCAAATTTAACAGTTATAAAGATAGTTGCTTCTTCATTTCCAGCCAAATAAATGAATTTGCAAAAAAAAATCTGTCGAATACTAAAACTAAAGCCAAACAATGATAAAGCAAGAAAACACAACTTATCAAGAACTTTATCGCAGATGAGACTATGTTTATATATATATATGTGTGTGTGTGTGTGTGTGTGGGTGTGTGCTTACATACGATCAGCCATAGCTCTTATCACTGCCACAGCTTCATCAATTTTGTTTTACAATTTTCATTGTTCGCCCAAAGAGAAAGCAAAACAAATGAAGCCAAGTGAAAACGCCGAAAAATTATGAATTCCATTTTATTGAGATTTATTTAAGCTCATATCTTTCGCTCACTGAAATGTTTGAGGACTCAAGCGAACGGTGAAAACCCCAATAAAAGATAAGCCTTTAACAAGCGACAAACGGCCAGGCAGCTTGATAAACACTGTGCCAACAAGACGCAGCAGCAGTGTCAACAAAGTGTGTTCATTCAGTCGGATAGACGCAGTCACAGTGAAGTGTCTAAGTTAAGATCACGCGTAATTCGGGCACAACATGCCACTCGATCCGCAAGCGGTGATGCGTGCGGTTGCTCTACGGCATCAACTGGCGACAAAGCGCATCGATTGCAGTTACTAAAAACCCTAAGTCAAGCCCAAGACCAAGTGGCAGCCCCAGCTAATTGCTCGTGAAAGTTTTTCTCAAAATTAAGAATTATTGTGCATATCAATTATTGTGAGCGTGTGTGTGGGTGTGTGCCTCAGCCGGAAGAATCCAATGTGCTACTAAAAAATATAAGTAAAAAAATCAAGACATCAAAAAGTATTCAAAAACAACCACAACAAAATGGTACAAAGCGAGGAGCGCAAGCTGGAGGAGCACGTCGAGGGACGTGTCACAGCGCGCAGTGATGAGCTGCCGGAGGAAACGACAGCTGCCGCAGCACCCGAGGAGCTCCACAAGCTGCTTAACAATGGCAATGCACACGAAACGACGGACAACAACAGCAAAGATGCCCAGGCACGCATCAAGGCCAAATTAAAGCGCGAAAAGTCCGAGCAGGATCGCCTCATGACCGAGGAGATAAATAAGCTGCTCCACGATATGCCGCTGGAAAAGAATGTGACCTGTGGTTTTTGGATCTTTCGTGGCGATTTCTTTCAGCGGTAAGTCAGAGTTGGCCCCGACCGTCAACTTCAAATCCTAATCAAACTTCAATGATTCCCCAGCTTTGCCAATCAAACTGCGTACGTCTTGCTCTATGGCATCGTCGGCTGCATTTTCTCGATGACGTATGCCTACTTCAATGGCACCATTACCACCATTGAGAAACGCTTCAAGATACCCTCGAAAAACACGGGCATCATTTCGGTGGGCAATGATATTAGCCAGACTTTGGTCTCTGCTGTTCTGGCCTATTATGCGGGCAAGGGTCACAGGCCACGCTGGATAGGATTTGGTAAGCTCTACAGCGTCTAGCAACGTCTTCTTCTTCATTGCTTCACACTTCCTTGCTCAGGTCTATTGACTATCGTTGTCTTCTGTCTGATGACCACCTCGCCGCACTTTCTTTATGGTCCTGGCGAGGATGCCTTGGCCTTGACCAAAGAATTCGGCGCCCTGCCCGATGAGAATGCCACGCTGGAGGCCATTGAGGAGCAGCGATCGAAGACTCTGTGTCGCCTCACGGGCGGTGGAGCCGAGTGCGAAGTGGGCGAAGGAAATTTCGCACCCCAAGTTCTGCTCTTTGTCGCCCAATTCATATCTGGCATCGGTGGCTCCCTATACTACACACTCGGCGTCTCCTATATGGATGACAATACCAAAAAATCCAAGACTCCAGCCTTGCTCAGTAAGTTTATCAAGTGTTTATCTATCTCATGTAGGCCCATGTCCAAGCGAATAAAACTAAGTTTTTACTTCTACATAATACGCAAAAGATCAGTTTTGTTATGGCTTTACGACTCCAATAAAAGCACAGGCGCCGTGTTGCCAGATAAGTGTAGACGTTACTCCTTAATAAGCCACACTCAAGTAATGCTTCCGTTTGTTATCGCTCGAGTGATGGAGCAAAATTAATTATCTTTTTGAGACTTTGAAAGTTTTAAAATGTTTATGTAAGGCATGACATCAAATGAAGTTAATATATTGCCTATGAGCATAGTCTTCAGCATAGCTAAACACTTTAAGGAATCTCATCAAAAGAAGTTGGGAATATTCCCTATGATCCCTAGTCTTTGGAATATAAATAAAGTAGATGACATCACAACTGGTTAGGGATATTCCCTTGTCTGCTGAATATATGATTGAAAAGCTACAACGAATAGTTAAGTTCTTAAAGAAAATTTCACTTGAACTTATTTCTAGCTAAAATAGTTAAAGAATAGAATAACGCAAGATAATAATAAAATCTTAAAGCCTAACTAAGCAAATGCCGCCTGAGTTGTATAATCCTTGAGCTGCAACACTTCTTGTAGACAAACAAGTCAAACATATATGCCACTTCTAAATAGAGCTCTTGAGCTCAGGCAGTTCTTGAAGAAAGACAATCAAGCACAAGCCCCCCTGAGCAGAGTATTCAAATGTCACTCACCCATCTCGGATTTTCTGTTTGTTTTTTTTTTGCAGGTCTCTCGTACTTTTTGCGTATGCTGGGCCCTGCGATTGGCTATGCTTTGGCATCCTTTTGTCTGCGCTTGTATATCGCACCGCAACTGCATCCGGTTATCAATAACAAGGATCCACGCTGGCTGGGCGCCTGGTGGTTGGGCTGGTTAGTCATGGGCGGGCTGCTATCGTGCTCGGGCATCTTTTTATCGATGTTTCCCAAAGAGCTGCCCCGTGCCGCCGCCAGACGCATGGTGGAGGAAAAACGTCGACGCGAACGTCATTCGCTCAAGCAAAAGGAGAGCACAGAAAAGGAGCAGCTCACAGCCGATCTGGAAACCAGAGCTGAACAGTCGACAGCAGAGCCACAGGCTTCATTCAAGGACATGCTGGTCACGTTCAAGCGCCTGACCACTAACAAGACATACATGTGCAACACGCTGTCGAACATCTTCTATCTGATTGGGTACACGCCGTTCTGGATATTTACGCCCAAATATATCGAGGTGCAGTACAAGCAGTCGGCAGCCACCTCCAGCATGGTCACGGGCACTGTGGCTCTAGCCTTCTCCGCCATTGGCGTGCTGCTCTCGGGCTTCATCATATCCAGATACAAGCCGAAGGCTCGCTATATGGCCGCCTGGAATGTGATTTGTGCCGTTCTGGTTGTCGCCGGCGTTGTGACCTATGCCTTCATTGGCTGTCCCGACAACGAACGTTCGGTCATTGTGAATATTCACAATAGCGCCGTCAATGACAGCGTCACCTGCAATTCGGCCTGCGCCTGTGACTATGTGCGCTACTCCCCGGTCTGTGGCGAGAATAATATGACCTATATATCCGCCTGTCATGCCGGCTGCAAGATGGAGCATGTACGATCCGATGGCAGAAAGGTAGCTCGTAGTGAACTATGTCCATCTATATATATGCTAACTGAAGCTTTTACTGTTTTCTTTAGGTATTCTATGACTGCTCCTGCATACCAGGCGCAAGGAATAGCACCTTTAATCGCCTCACTGCGCTCGATTTGGCCAATGAAGCCAACAGCAGAGATCCAACGGGTAAAGCGCTGGATACTTCGTCTTCTATGGCATATCTGGAGGTAAGTTTTCAGTATAATTTTGGGCTGAAATCACTCATAAATTGTACTTTTCTCGCAGCTACTCGCCGCTGGCCAGGCCACGCCAGGCGCATGTCCTGTCAACTGTTGGACACAGTTCGTCGCGTTTCTCTCAGTGATGTGCTTTCTGAAATTCATTGGCGCTGCGGGCAGAGCATCCAATTTCCTTGTATCTGTGCGATGTGTTCCGGAGAAGGATAAGACGGCAGCCATGGGCTTTGGCATGATGCTGTGCTCAATGTTTGCCTTCATACCGGGACCCATATTCTTTGGCTGGATCTTTGATCGCATGTGCCTGGTGTGGGGCAAGACGTGCACGAACAAGGGCAACTGCTGGCTCTACGACCCAGAGTCCATGAGGTGAGTTTATATATATAAATATATGTGATATATTTATAATCTATTTCGCTTTAGATATACGCTCAACTTTACGGCAGCTATTTTCATTAGCCTGGGCGCTGTCTTCGACTTTGGTGTCTGGTATTATGTGAAAGATCTTAAGATATTCGACGAGGAGATCAAAGAAGTCGAAATGCAAATAGTGCAGCACGAGGAGGAGGTCAATGCTGAAAAGAATACCGAAATATAAGTTACTAGAATAAATTATAAAAAAAACTAAAAACAAAAAAAATATATATATATATTTAATAAGATAATGTTATCTTTAAGTTAAAGATTGTGAGTGATTTTGGTGCCTAAATGCGAGGTTTTAATGATGCGAGTCTGTCGGTATAATAAACTGTATTATGACGGTTAAGATCGTGTGATAAATGCAACCGTCAAGGCTCTCATTTTACTATACTAAGACATACGTACAGTGCTCACACGTTAAGAAGAACCGTTAACAGATTCCAAAGAATTCTTTATAAAAATCCAATAAATTTATATAGTCATATTATAACACTATCTATTTATATGATAAATTGGCAACTAGAGTTAACCTCGGGTTTCTCTTTAGCCAGCGTCTACTGTATATATCGTCTTTATTTGAACAGTCTGCCAGACAGTGCATAAAGCATACATACAGCAGCCTAGTTACTAGAGAACTTATCTCAAAACTTAGTTTTCGCGTGGGATTAGGGCAATTACAAGACTCTATGGCTATTATCTATATAGATATAGACAGTAGTTGCATTTTGTGCATAATTATGGCTGCACTTTATGGCCAGCTATAGTAGCTGCCAAAGTTCAGTTTGGCTGTGCAGTTCGACAATGGCAGATGAGCCTAATGAAGTAACCCAATTCCTAAAAGTGGGCACTGCAGAAAAGGATGAGAAACGGGAGTTATCCGCCGCAGATACCCTATGCGGCTTTGGCATATTCAAGGGTCCACGCATACAAAGGTAGGAAATTATTTCCATTTCAGTTGAAATTTTAGCTACTGCCATTACAGCTGGGCTACGGAGCACATGTTTATGGTGCTCTTTGGCATCGCCGGTTCCTTTATAGGCATGGCATTTTCCTATTTCAATGGCACGATTACTACGCTGGAGAAACGCTATAAGATACCCACCAAAACATCGGGCCTCATATCGGTGGGCAACGATATAAGCACAACGTTGACTTGCGCCTTTTTGGGCTACTATGCGGGTCGTGGACATCGACCGAGATACATTGCCCTAGGTAGGCCACAAAAAAATATATAATAAGAAAAACTCGAATTTGGATACCCTGGATAATGTGATTACAATAGATGACATTTATTAATAACAGCCTAAGTCTCATTAACAATACATTTACTTCCCTTTCTGTGTCTCTCCTTCTTAATTTCTGACTCTCTCTCTTTCTGTTCAACTCTTTTTCTCTTTGTCTCTGCCTCTCTCTCTCCCTATCTTTCTCTCTTTGCCTCTGTCATTAGGTCTCTGTCTCTGTCTCTCTCCCTCGCTCTCTCTTTCTATCTCTATCTGCCATCCTCTCTTTCTCTCTATTCGGTTCTTCACTTCTCTCCTTCTTCTTCACTGTCTCTATATCTCTGTATCTCTTTATTTCTCTCTATGTATTTCTCTTACTTTCCCTTTGCCTCTGCAAGTGTCAGTCCCGCTCCTGTACCTGTCACTCTCTCTCTCTTTCCCGCTCTCTTTACCTTTCACTCTCTCTCTATCTACCTCTCTCTTTCCCCAACTTGCTCTCTGTCTCTCTCTCAAGCTCACTCACTCGCTCAGTCTCTCTCTCTCTATCACTTGTAACGTCCCTCTCTCTCACTTTTAACGTTCCCCCCTCCCTCTCTCTCTCGCTCTCTCTCACTTTTAACGTTCTTCTCTCTCTCTCTCACTCTCTCTCTCTCACTCTCTCTCTCTCTCTCTCTCTCTCTCTCACTCCAGCTCTCTCTCTCACTCTCTCTCTCTCCTCTCACCTCTCTCCTCTCTCTCTCTCTGCACGTTTAACGTTCTTCCCTCTCTCTCTCTCACTCTTCTCTCTCACACTCTCTCTTCTCTCTCTCCACTCTCTCTCTCACTCTCTCTCTCTTCCTCCTCCCTCTCTCTCTCTCTCTCACTTTTACGTTCCCTCTCGATCTCTCCTATCTCTCACTCAGTCTCTCTCTCTCTCCTCTCTCTCTCACTTCACTCTCTCTCCTCTCTCTCCTTCTCTCTCTTCTCTCTCTCTCTCTCTCTCCTCTCTCTCTCTCTCTCTCTCTCTCTCTCTCTCTCTCTCTCGCTCTCTCTCACTTTTAACGTTCCTCTCTCTCTCTCTCTCTCTCGCTCTCCCTCACTTTTAACGTTCCTCTCTCTCTATCTCTCTCATTTCCCATCTCTCTGGCTCTCACACTCTCTTATCTTCAAATGCTCTCCTCCTCCTTCTCTATGATCTCCCTCCCCCTCTTTAGTCTGCCTAACTCTCTTCTCATTCAAGGTCTCTTCATCTTGGCGATCTTCTGCCTGCTGATGGCATCTCCACATTTCATCTACGGCGCTGGCGAGGATGCCCTAAAGCTCACACATGAATACGTGAATACGAGCTACTTCAATGCCACCCAGGAGGATCCCACGCTCTGTCAATCCCGTTTGCCCGACTGTGTGCAGGCTGCAAGTCAATGGGCGCCCATCATTTTGCTATTTGTAGCGCAATTCATATCTGGAATCGGCTGTTCGCTCTTCTACACACTGGGTCTGTCCTATATGGATGACAACTCAACGAAGTCCAAGTCACCCGCTATGCTAAGTAGGTATGCCACTAATCCAAGCTCCACTCTTCTTAAGGATCTCTTTATGTTTCGTTTCTCTGAACAGGTTGGTCCGCTTTTCTGCGCATGTTGGGTCCAGCATTTGGGTACTCCTTGGCCTCCGTTTGCCTGCGTTTCTATATAGATCCGCAGCTGAAGCCGCTGATCAGCAATGAGGATTCGCGTTGGTTGGGCGCCTGGTGGCTGGGCTGGATTATATTGACGATCATAATGCTGATCTCTGCCTTTTTCCTATACCTATTTCCCAAAGAGCTGCCCAGTGCCAGAGCTCGACGACTGAAGGCAAATGAAGCTGATGCTGTCGTTCACTCATTGACAGAGCTTTCGCTCTCCGATATGTTGCAGTCTGTCAAACGATTGGCCAAAAACAAGGTATATGTCTATAACAACATTGCCTCTATACTCTACTTCTTTGGCTACACGCCCTATTGGATCTTTACGCCCAAATATATTGAGACACAATACCAGCAATCGGCAAGTACAGCGACCATGGCAACTGGCACTGTTGCTTTGGCCTTCTCGGCAGCCGGGGTCTTGCTCTCCGGCTATGTAATCTCCAAATATAAGCCGAGTGCCCGGGCAATGGCCGCTTGGAATGGCATCGTTGATATATTTACGGTAATGGGCATCTTGTGCTATGTGCTCATCGGCTGTGCTGATAGCGATAAGACGACATCCATGTCGCCCAGCACACCTGACAGCTGCACCGCCTCCTGTCACTGTGAATATGTGCACTACGCGCCCATCTGCGGTCCAGATAATGTTACCTATATATCTGCCTGTCATGCTGGCTGCAACAGTAAACTGAAGGATGAACTGGGTCGACTCACCTATACGGGCTGTAAGTGCATTGGCGCCATCGATATCGCAAATGTTACAGAGGTAAGATACTCTTACTTGGATAAACCTATGATTAAAATTTTAGTTTAGCCACTTACTTATTTGAATGGGAAATAGCAAAACAGTCAGTTATCAAAAAAAGAAATATTCTTTAACTTTATCAACTATACAACCAGCTATATATCAAATTTGATAGCTCAAGTTCTCATAGTTTTCGAGTTACGCTTAAAAATCCGGAGTCTGGGAGGAAATTTTTATTAATTAAAATTAAAAAGTATAGCTACTCAGCATTCACTCCGTATCAAGTCTAAATCTTTGTGCAATCTAAGCTCTGGCTTGCCTTTAAAATCGATATCTTCTTTAAGTTCTTCCTTAACTTTCTCCCTTTCCCCAGCTCCAATATGCGCGGCAAGGACCCTGCCCGGTGGATTGTTATAAGCAGTTTCTCATTTTCCTAGGCGTCATGTGTTTTCTGAAGTTTGTGGGCGCCTCCGGTAGAACGGCCAACCTATTGTTGGCCCTGCGCTGTGTGTCCTCCGAGGACAAGAGCTTTGCCCTGGGCCTGGGCAACGTCATTGTCTCCATAGTCAGCTTTATACCTAGTCCCATTCTGTTTGGCTGGATTTTGGATAGCTATTGCGTAGTCTGGGGCAAAACGTGCGGCAGCAAAGGCAACTGCTGGCTCTACGATACCAAATCTCTACGGTAAGCCCCAAAACCCCAATTCATTAATGGTTGTAATTACTTAAAGTCGTCTTCGTCTCAGCTACACTATAAATCTCTTAGCTGCTGCGTTCATATTTGCTGGCAGTTTTTGGAACATTGGCGTCTGGTATCATGCCAAAGATTTGCAGATATTCGACGAAGAGATAAAGCCCAAAAAAGACTCGCAGCTTGAATTAAATGAATTATCCAGCGAGAGAAAACAAAACTAATGTTTGATATGTAAATATTAAAGAACTTAAGCAAATATTAAATACGAAGTCGGAGGTTAATTTAATGATTTGTGGTCTGAAAATCTTATCAACTTTGTCTCAGATAAGCAGAGCAGCACGCGAGTTTCAAAGAGGTGTTAAAAGTTGACTTTTATAATCTACCTAAGAGACTATGAAATTATTGCCAAAGAAGCTGAAGACGTGTGCTATATATAGCATATTTATAGAAATTTAGGATCAGTATTGTATGACATGTGAATATAATAAATCATTGAAGACAAATCTACTCAAATGATTTTTAGTTATCTGTTGAACTTAAGCTCAGCGAATATCATCTATTTCTGAAGAAATGTATGTAAGTAACAGCAGGAGGTATGGGCGACATCGTAGGGTTTGGACTGACAAGCCAAGCAGACGTAGCCAGGTCTTATCAGCTCTGTACCAGTCCAACTGTATGTATTAAAAATTTATTCTATTTTCGATATCTCAAGCAATTTCCATTAAATCGATTAGAAAATCGATAACGAAACGAAAAAATTTAATTTGATCTCTCGTAATGTTATTCCCGAATATTTAAGATATTGGCAGATTAAAGAACCCATTTTTAAAGGACAGATACATAGTCCGAACAATATAGCTATGTAATTTAACCTAATGCACGGCTGTCGGAGGAAGCAGACACTACTTAAAAGTCTGTTTATAGAAGAAAAAGCAATAGTATTTACTAGTCAAGCACTCCTGACTAGATCACTATATAAACCCACTTTCTATTTATCGTTGCTTAAATATCTAGTAACTATATTTACAGCCATCTGCGACTACGACAAATCTTAAGTGTAAAATATCTTGTAGCTATATATAGACCCACCACCTAGCATAATCTTAACTAAATGTCTTATAGTTTATCTGCTTCAAAAAGCTCATATGCCATCAAAGTTGTCTTCTCATCCTCTCAAAAATTTGATATCTCGCTTGATTTCAAATCTCAATATCATTATTAGCTTATACTTTTTCGTTGACTTAAGGGGCATGCATATACACAAGATATGGCAAGAGTTTTATAAATGTTAAAGCAATAATTGTTAGTTAACGTTTATGGATGCCCACTTTGTCAGCTGTCGGCCTAGATATAATGCTCTAGAAATAGTTTGCAATTAGTCGAGCTGCAAGTTTTGATGGAGTCGGTTCAAAAATGAGTCTCGAAAAGAAACCAGAGCAACCAGAAGAGCATCCTTTTCTGGAGAACGATAAGCAGAGCAATGGCAAAGTACGGAAAGAAAAACCTCATAAGGATATCAGATGTGGATTTTGGATATTCAAAGGATCGCTGCTACAGCGGTATGGATAGGTCTAGCTTGGCTAAGTCAGCTATAAACTGAACCCTTCTCTACTCCAGTTTGGCAACGGAAAAGTCTTTTGTTTTAATTTATGGCATCGGTGGCTGTCTTCTATCCATGTCCTTGGCGTATTTCAATGCCATAGTCACGACACTGGAGAAGCGCTATAAGATCCCAACCAAAACATCTGGCCTTATTATAGTTGGCAATGATGTCAGCATGATGATCACATCTGTGCTGGCTGGCTATTTTATACACAAAGGACATCGCGCACGCTGGATAGCGTTAGGTAAGTGGCTAGAGATCAAGCCCATTGATTGTCAATCAAATTTCCTTGACTTTTCAGGATTTTTTACAATTTTCATTTTCTGTGTGCTCACTTGCTCCTTGCACTTCGCCTATGGCGCTGGCGAGGATGCCTTAAAGCTCACACGTGAGTTTGGCGATTTTAAGGATATTAGCGAATACACAGCAAATGCGCACAAGGATCATAAGCTATGCTTGTCCACGGAATCGGGCTGTACACAGAGCGATGGTACCTGGGTGCCGCCGCTTGTTCTATTTGTGGCTCAGTTTATTGCAGGCATTGGCATATCTTTATTCTGGATTGTGGGCGTCTCATATATGGATGATAACACAGAGAAAGCGAATACGCCAGCATTGTTGAGTAAGTCGAGTGATAAGAGCTATATCATAAGAGTATATCTAGCAGAAACATTCTAAATTCATTTAAAAATTGCTTCGTTCAGGCATTTCCGCTTTTCTGCGCATGCTGGGTCCAGCTCTTGGCTACTCCTTGGCCTCCGTGTGTCTGCGTTGGTATATAGAACCGCATTTGGAGCCACTGATTAAGCCTGGTGATCCTCGTTGGCTGGGCGCCTGGTGGGTTGGCTGGCTCATTCTAGCCGTCGTCACGTTTATAATCACCATCATGATGTTTATGTTTCCCAAGGAGCTGCCCAGCTCGAATGCAAGACGCCTTCAACTAGAAGAAGCTGGCATACAAAATCCCAAGCAGCACAGGGATCTCTCCATCAGCGACATGATGCGTTCCATCAAGCGCTTGATGGTCAACAAAGTGTTTATGTACAATTCATTCGCCTCCAGTTTCTACTTCTTTGGCTATTTGGCCTACTGGATCTATACGCCAAAATATATTGAGACACAATATAGACAGTCGGCATCCATGGCCAGCATGGCAACAGGCACCATTGCCTTGGCTTTCTCAGCTGCGGGCGTACTGCTCTCTGGATATGTTGTGTCCAAGTATAAGCCCAGTGCCAGAGCCATGGCTGCCTGGAATGGCATTGTCGACTTCATGACTGTCGCTGGTATTTTGTGTTACGTTGTAATTGGCTGCAAAGGCAGCGATCAATTGAGCTCCATGACATCAGTCAGTGGCAGCTGCGGCGTCTCCTGTCACTGCGAATATGTGCACTATGCTCCCATCTGCAGTCCAGATAATCTTACATATATATCCGCGTGCCATGCTGGCTGCACGGATACAGCAAAGGATCAATTCGGCCGCACTCTCTACACAGGCTGTGAGTGCATAAATCCAAAGAATACAACAGCTGGAACTGAGGTAAATCAGATTTGATAATTGTGATAATTGTGATCTATTAACTGATTAATTATATTTACAGTTACAGTACGCAGTAGATGGGGCCTGTCCTGTGGACTGCACGAAGCAGTTCCTGATCTTCCTCGTTGTGATGTGCGTGCTTAAGCTCGTTGGGGCCAGCAGCAAGTCCACAAATTTGCTGATAGCCTTGCGCTGCATACAGCCGGAGGACAAGAGCTTTGCTCTAGGTCTGGGCGGCTTGATCAGTTCTCTAACTGCCTTTGTGCCCAGTCCCATTTTCTTTGGTTGGCTTCTGGACAAATATTGCTTGGTGTGGGGCAAGACGTGCAGCAACAAAGGCAACTGCTGGCTCTACGACACGGAGGCCTTAAGGTAAGTTCTTTAATATCATTCAACTTTTATATCACTTAACGTGATTTCATTTTCAGATACGCCTTCAACTTGACTGCAGCGTTCTTCATATTCCTAGGCGGCCTCTTGAATATTGGAGTTTTTCGTAATGCTCACGATTTGCTCATTTTCGATGAGGAGCAAAATGAAATGGATGAAGCAGATAACAAACTCGATAAATTAAACTCGGATACTAAAGACAAAGAGGCGGCAGCAACAAAAGATATAGAAAAGTCTTAGGAATATTAAAATGTGGATTAACTCTGTGAGTCTTCAAAAAATAATTGTAAATGTTACATTTATAGAAAATAAAAAACCATAAAATTTATTTAAAAATGAGTTTTTCAAAAAGTGAACAGAATGCCAAAGTGAAAAAATGCGAAGCACAAATTGAAAAAAATTCCGAAAGAAAATTTTTAATGAGCAAAATGTACGAGTGAATATTGAGATAGGAATTCGAGCTGCAAGCTAAACCAGAAAAGACCAAAAGAAATTTTAAAAAATTTTTTCAAATATAAATTATAAAATTATACAAATTAAAATTTTTTTAAATAATTTTGAAATATTTAAATATTGTAAAAAAGTTGTAAACTCCAAAAAAAAAAATATTTTATAGAATTTTGAAACAAAAGAATAGACATAAAATTGAGATAAGAATACACTTTCAACAAAAAAATTCAGAAATTTTTTAATTATATAAATAATATTATTTTAATATTAAATATTAAATAAAAAAATTAAATGTTTTTTTAGATAAATATATTAGATTTTTGTACTACATTTCAGAAAAAATGTTATATGATAAAGAAATTAAATTCAAATAGAAGAAATAAAATTGTAATTGGAAATTGAATTTTTATAACAAAAATAAGCCAAATCGATAGAAAATTTCATAAAAACGTTAAAAATTCTAATTTTAAATAAGCAAAAATGTTGAGCAACTTGAAAATCGATTTACAAAAAAAAAAAACAAAACAAGGAAAATATTGAAAGACAAGCGAATTCAGAAGATCGTAAAATGAATAGTATGATCATTTGCCGCGATTTGCCCCAGGTTTAAAAGAAGCTTGTTTGTGTTTGCTGTTCCAACAATCTAAAAAGAAAGGTAAATATATGCTTGATTACTTTTACAATAGTGGCTCAACTAAGTGATATCTCAGTGTGTATATCTTAGGAAAACAAAAAGCACAATATATTAGTGCTCAAGCTGATGTTGCTTAAAAAGGTAAAAAATTCAAAGCTCTTTTCAAGCAGCTTTAGGTAGAATTAATGGAATTGATGAAATACTATTTTTACCATGGATTTAACTCTCGCACGAAATACAGTTAGCGTATTCTCTGATATAGTAGTCCATATGTTAAAATATATCTATGAACTTATCTCGTGTCAGCTTAGTCGAGCTGCAAGATTCATAAATTGCATCTGCGTAATCAGAAAGGCCGTTTTTATTGATGTCTAGAGATAATGTAAATCCCATTTTAATTAATAACTAAAAGAAAATTTAGATCAGTCGTCCGGAGCGAGTGAATGGAGAGAGTTGAACATGAGCGCCGATATCAAGGAACCAAGTGAAGTGTCTCCATTTCTAAAAGATGTTGTCAAGCTAACAGCCATAGAGCAGAAGGAGCAAGAGTTAAAGGATGCCAAGGAGCAGCAAGCGCAAAGAGAAAATCTAGAAGATGACAAGGATATAACATGTGGTTTTTGGATATTCAAAGGACCTACGCTGCAGAGGTAGAGCTGCGAGTATATTTTAAAGAAACTTCGAACTCTATGAAAGCTTTTCCCAGTTTCGCCACAGAGACCATTTATGTGACCATCTATGGCATAGCTGGCTGCTTTATGGCCATGTGCTTTGCCTACTTCAATGGCACAATTACTACATTGGAGAAACGCTATAAGATACCAACTAAAACGTTGGGCATCATATCAGTTGGCAATGACATGAGCACCATGTTTGCCTCGGCCTTGACTGGCTATTATCTACGCAAAGTGCATCGACCGCGCTGGATGGGTTTGGGTATATGGAAAACGAAAATATATAAAAGAGCTTCTGAACTTAAAGTAAATCCCACTGCAGGTCTATTTACAATTGTCATATTTTGTTTGCTAAACTGCTCGCTGCATTTTATCTATGGCGCTGGCGAGGATGCTATGAAACTAACGCGTAGTCATGGAACTTATCAAAATTTAAGTGGACACTTAACTAGTTCACAGAGGGATCAGAAGCTCTGCATGAATGAGACGTCCAGTTGCATACAGGAGGATAGTGTTTGGGTGCCACAAATAATTTTATTTCTAGCTCAATTTATTTTGGGCATTGGACAGGCGTTATTTATAGTCATTGGCCTGGCCTACATGGATGACAATACAACCAAGTCCAAGACGCCAGCTATGCTAAGTAAGTCGTAACCCAATTCGTAAATATTATATATAATTATTTTTATGACTTGCTTTTCAGGCTTCTCCACTTTCCTGCGCATGCTGGGTCCTGCTATTGGATACTCTTTGGCGTCACTTTGTCTGCGCTGGTATATAGAGCCGACAGCGGAGCCGTTGATCAAGCCCGAAGATCCTCGCTGGTTGGGCGCCTGGTGGTTGGGTTGGCTCATCTTAGCTGCCATAACATTCTTAATTGCCTTTCTTATGACGTTGTTTCCCAAGGAGCTACCCAGCTCAAAAGTAAGACGCTTGAAATACCGAAAAGCCGGCGAATCCAATACAAATGTTGAAATGGACTTTTCATTGGGCAACATGTGGTTCTCGGTGAAACTCTTGGCAACCAACAAGGTATATGTTTACAATACCATTGCCTCTATACTCTACTTCTTTGGCTATATGGTCTACTGGATATTCACGCCCAAGTACATTGAGACACAATATCAGCAATCAGCCTCGATGGCCACCATGGCTACGGGTACCGTAGCTCTGGGCTTCTCTGCTGCTGGCGTACTGCTCTCTGGATATGTTGTGTCCAAGTATAAGCCCAGCGCTAGATCCTTGGCTGCCTGGAATGCTACTGTGGACTTTTTGACTGTAGCTGGCATTTTATGCTTTGTTGCTATTGGCTGTGAAGGCAGCGATCAATTGAGCTCCATGGCAACAGTGGGGGATAGCTGCAGCGTCTCCTGTCACTGTGAATATGTGCACTATGCTCCCATCTGCAGTTCAGATAATGTTACCTATATATCGGCATGTCATGCTGGCTGCACTGCCAAAACAAAGGATCAACTGGAACGCACTTTGTACACAGGATGTGACTGCATAAGTCCAAAGAATACGACAGCTGGAACTGAGGTAAATTGGACATTAATTAGATTATTAAGAATATGATCTATAAACTGATTATTTACATTCACAGTTGCAGTATGCAGTTGATGGGGCTTGTCATGTGGACTGCTTCAATCAGTTTCTCATTTTCTTGGGTGTCATGTGTTTCCTTAAGCTTGTTGGTGCCAGCAGCAAGTCGACTAATCTGCTCATAGCACTGCGTTGCATACCGCCGGAGTACAAAAGTCTTGCACTGGGCTTAGGCAGCATGGTGGCTTCGTTGTTCGGTTTCATACCCAGTCCCATTTTCTACGGCTGGTTGATAGATAAATATTGTTTGGTGTGGGGCAAAACGTGCAGCAACAAGGGCAACTGCTGGCTATACGACACAGTATCCTTGAGGCAAGTGGAGGCACCAGTTCTGTATATCTATTGTGAGCTAATCCTTTTTCTTTTAGATATGCTTTAAATTTGGCAGCTGGTACGTGTGTATTGCTGGGTGGTTTTATGAATATTGTGGTTTGGTATCATGCCAAGAATCTCAAAATCTTTGACGACGAGAAAGCCAAGAGTTTGGAGGATATTACTTTAAAAGATTTGGGCAGCACGCTGCAACTGCAAAAGCTTGATGAAAATATCTAAATATATCAACTTGTCATCTGACGTCATTTATCACAATAAAGACCATAAGATTATATCCATTCTAGCGCTTATCTTATAAGCTTGACAGCTATATGGACTGTGAGCTGCTTTTCATTTACAATTGAGAGATGAGTGAAAAGTTAGTTCGCGTATTTCGTCAGTTCAATAAGGGCAGCCATTCATCGGGCAGTGGAGGCTCTAATATAGCCGTTGTATTATTCTCCTCGATTTCATTGGCATCGCATAGACACCACAAGGCATCGAAGAGCAGTAATTGTAGCAATCCCGTGCCAGCTGTGCACTCTTCAAATGTTATTGGCGGTAAATCATTTTGAGCTTGAGCGCTATAGACATTCAATCTTTCATTATTCAAACGAGCCAAGCATATTTCTTGCCCTTTATGCTCTTCAATTTTCCACATGGCTATAAGGACATCAGGCAAAGGTTTTATCACCTCCTTTAACAAAGCTGCTGCGATCACATTTTGTGTGTAGTTTTGTTGAATTCCTTCCAGTTGCTGCTTGTAATTGGTTTCCGAAAAATTCTCATGTTGTAGCTGATATAAACTGCGCGCCGATTTGGCACAATAATTGTTTTCCAATACATTGTGCACTTGACAACAATCTAAAACAATTGGTGGCAACTTGTTTCTAGTTATCGTTTTAAGCTCCTGCAGTGCTTGCAAAAGCAATTGCTGTTTAGGTGCTACTATAGCTACGTAATTCTCTAAACCATTGTCTTCGATTTCCAGCATGATATTTGATAAAGCTCTGCCTATTTCATCGTTTCTAATGAGCTGCAATTAATGAATGGATCAACACAAATATTTTATATATAAATCGTTAGCTTACAGGCATTCTCAGTTGGTCCAGGGTCAAGTTTTTATCCCTTAGCATAGCCAAGCTTCTCGCATAGCACAACCGCTGCTGCTCGCCATTGGTACGCGTTACAAAGATAACAAACAGCTGCAAAAGCTATTTAAGTGTCTATAAATATGTTGTATATTGTAGACCTAACCTTATGCACATACGGTTCCTTGCGCACCCAAAACTCGTTTAAATTCAGCGTATATGTCTTGCCTCTATCAATGCGATGGAGCACGCCGGGATGATAGTACTCCAATCCCTGGTTATCATATGTTCTATGTATTCGACGCAAACGCCATTGCACCTTCCTTGAATACGCTTCATATTCATCATCCGTCATACATTCAATATTGGAAAAATCATCCGGCTGCACACAAGCTCCAAACTTAGCAAATGGAGGCCGGCCAGGTCGCACATAGCCCTGCGCCTGTGCTTCGGCCTTTTCGTGTCGTGCTGCCACTAGGCGTTCGTGTAGCTCCTGCTTTGAACCTTTAGTATTTAAAGCACGACCGTATAAGTCGCGTACCAAATCTCGTATATTAAAATCAGAAACTGGCAGCTCCATTTCACAATTTTCACATAAATATTTACCGCAATCAAACTCTTAAGCGCGAAATCTAGAGATGAGCCGATATAATGTAGTGCTCTAAATGGTCCAGTAAACAGTACTGCAAAATGTTGATAAATTAAATTGCAAGCAATCGATATATCGATACAACAGCAATGGGCTTATATGAACTATTTTTGAATCTCAGTTGTTTTTGTATATTATGTTTGTTCTCCGACCTAACGTATCATTCCAAATTTTAACATCTTAATGGAATAGTGAAAATCACAATCTTCCAATGGCGGAGAATAGTTGCGACAAATGGAATGAAAGAAGACATTTAAAACCAACACCTAGACCGATCTGCTTAGAGTCATTAAATGAAAAATGTCCAGATGTCAAAAGTCCCGAAGACATCCAACGGGAGAAAAACATTGTCAAAGCTATTCTCAAGCCTGTGGTGCCAACAAGACGGGTTATAGACCCAAAAGTTCTGGCCTGTCCCTGGCCTGCCAAAAAACCAAAATGCTGCAATCTCCGTGGTGCAGAAAATGCCGAACATACAAATAATTTTTGTTCACCGAAATGCGCCCCATCGAGAGCCCTGCTTCACTTGGAGGAGGTATTCAAGCTGTATTTTCTTTCTATATGTACATTTACTAAATTTTTTTCCAATAGTGGACGAAACGTCCTCTTCAAAAGCCAGCATATAAGCACTGTGTCAATCTAAACAATGAACTTTTGGCTGGACGTGCATTTCCCGTTAAGTTTCGTATACGTCGAAATTTGCACAGTTGTAACATCTGTGGGAAGAAATCATATTTACGTGATCCAATTACGGATAATACAAATATAGTTTTAATTTCGAACTGTTGTGATGTTGAGGTTTATCAACGTTCTTATATTGATAATTGGCATCGTGTTCCCGTTTTATCAATAACAGGCAATAAATCTATGAAAAAGAAAACAATTAAGGATATAGTTGTAGTTAAAGCCGCCAAAATTGCACCACCTCCACCACCTCCTCCAGCTCCATTACCAGAACCGAAAAAACCGGCAGCAAAAGGTAAAGGCAAAAAAGGTAAAAAGAAATGAATGAAATAAAGCGAAATTGTGATTTTACAAAATAAAAATATATCGATTGCTACACTTCGATCTATTGACGATTAATTCAATTGGTCATTTAAAATTTAAATGGATATGTAAGTCGTATTAGATACCGAGTAAGTCTCAAACATGAATTTCCAATTGGCCTAAAGTTGAGTAACTCACATCGATTGTCAATCAATCGATTATTATTGTTATCATGGTTGACACGTCGCATAACGTATTTTTAAGTGCTGTCAATGAACTGCATTGGATTGTTTCTGTTTTTTTTCAATTTGCATTTAATTAATTTAAATTCAGTCGCATAAGCATACTTAGCGTTAACCTAATAACTAAAATGTATAATTCAGCTTAATATGAAAAACAGCGCTGCCAATTCACAATATATATATGTAGAAAAAGGGGGAACTTAATATTTGATGATCGAAAAGATTTCCTTGTATAATTTGTTGACTTTAGCTTTCGTTATCGAGAATGTGTATGTGTATGTGTGTGTGTGCTTTTTATAATTACAGTTACAAATACTTGAATATTATTAATATTGTTGTTGTTGTTTTTGCTACAATACGTAAATACGACTTACAGCTAAATCATGTTGCATATTCCTGCAATTCTCTCACAAAATGTTCATTGTTAATTGTTTTTCTTGTTGGAGTTTTGCTGGGGTTTTAAATTTCAGAATTTGTTTTTGGAAAACTATTGATAGCACTCGCTATTTGTTGTTGGCGCAAGGCGTTATATTGCAGTTGAATCGATTTTTGCGTGACATCGAAATTCACAACTATATACATACACATATATATATATATATACATATATATATATATATATATATATATTATTAAACATACTTTAGATTATAGCTACATATGCACTTGAAATATTGATTTAAAAATTAGCTACAAATTGTTAGACTACATTATGTATATATATAATATAGTTATTATATACGCGTCTACTTATACTGTCAAGTGTCGAGTCACTAAATTTTTAAAATGAAAATCTTCTCTTCCTTGTGCTAATGCGGATGGGTAAGGCGAAAGGATGGGGGATGGAGATGGGGATGGGACTGGGAAAGCGCAAATGAGGGAAAGCCTATGTTTTTCCAATGAGGGGAAAAAAGTCTTTGAGTAGTGTGGTGCGCCGCTTTTCCGCAATATCCATTTGATTCTCCAGTACTGCACGATCCGTTGTCTCCGCTCGCTCGATTTTCCACGACAGATTCTCAATTTCAGCCTCCAATTGCGCCTGCAGGAATAAAAAATATACATATATTAATTAAAACTATGAAAATATAAAACTAAATTATGTTTGAATGGACAGTGTCGACTTTTGCAATCTTAGTATGTACGTTTAAATAAATAAAGTATCGATATACATATCGAATTAGGCAACTATCGCGAACGAAAGTATCTCGATATACTCGATACCTAATCAAATATTGTATATCGTATTGGCTTTACAGATCTCAATACAGCGAATATCGTAACAAAATTTGTTTCACCGCTAATAGAAATCTGTTGCCTATGGTTACATTTGATTCGCCACTCACCTGTTGGTATTCGAACAGATTCTTGCGGGAGCCAGGTTCCATATAGTAAGCATATGGATAGGTATATTGCAGGGTATATCGACATTTGGCTAGCAGCGCGGCTGCATTGAACAGATATTGCCAATCGATCCAGGTGCCGCTGCCATTCATCACTTTCGTGTTGATCCGTTGACGCAATCGATCGATGGTCTGCTGTTCCAGCTTGAGGGATTTGGAATGATTCTCCCAGCGTTCGTAATAATGTAAATACTTTTTGAGAGCCTCGCGCGCCTGTACATGCACCGATTCGTTAGCTATATTAGGATTATCCTTGTAGCGCGAGCACTCGTAATACTCAGACCCATGCGTCTTCCAATCCCCCAGGCACATCCAGCAGAAATCGTGCTTGCAATTGAAACATTGCATGTGATTGCAGCCGCCATTCTTCTCGATGCAGATGTGACATTTGGGACAGTCTTTGGTATGGGCGCTAATGTAGTTGGCGGTTTCGCTATCATCAGCGCACTTCGTCAGCCATTTCCTAATGATCTGACAGTCTGTGGGCGCATGATAGTCCATGCCACACTTGAAACAGAAGCCCGTATGGCACACCTTGCAGATGGCACGTTTTGCACAGATCTCTGTCGATTGCACAATGATTTGGCAATTGGGGCCAGGACAGAAGCGCAACTGCGGATGCGATTTCACATAGTCCTTAAAAGCAAACTGCTGGTATTTATCCCGCATAACCGGACGTGTGACCAGAGTCAATACCAAGTCTTCGGGCACACGAACATTACACTGTTGAGCCATGCACCCAATCTGTATGGAGATGCCCTGAAAGATTTGCGTCTCAAAGTAAATGGTCCAGCAATCCTTGCAAAACGAGTGCCCACACGCTAAGCTATAGAACTTATCATTCGGTTGCGTACTCGCGCACACAGGACACATTCGTCGCTGAGGCTGTTGCTGTAGATTGCCGCTGGCAGCTGTTGTTAGAGATGAAGTCAATGTTGTTGATGTCCTATAGCCGCTGCTGCTGCTCAATCGCAGCAATTGGGCAGCCGCAGCAGCACTGGTTGATGCCGCCTCCGCTGCTGTTGTGGGCGGCTTAATTCTCGCCGTCACAAGCAATGCATTCGCATCCTGACGATATTTCTCCACCACAGCCGCATTGTTCCATTGATGTTCGAGCAGTAGAACTTTGGCCAATGACGGAGTTATTTGCAGTATTGTATTTAATTTCTCCACTAGCTCATTGAGCAGCTTTTCAATGTCCTCGACGGTTAGGCAGTCGTATTCAAAATATTCGGGATCGGCACGCTTTGGATCGAGCCTCTCGACATCGCAGTCTTCGCCTAAAAGTAGACAAAGATAAAAGCAATATGAAATTACTATGTGATTCAACATCAACATTATTACAGGGCATTTAATAGTCGGCCAAATACATTTTATACTCCAGGTCTATCGATAGTCAGTATGTCGATAAGTATTTATCGAAATTTCCGTTTTTCTACAAAAATCAGGATCTTTTCCATCAGCTGTTAACCTGTTATGCTTGTTTATAGGGTAGTTTTAGGTCTATCTGACATATTTTACATGATGCATTGTAAATCTTTGCACCCTTAATTTATAGTTTCTAGTAATTTGATTCTGCTTTCCCATATAGTCTACCAAAGGACTAACCAGGTGCAATCTATAAATGATTCATTTCGTTTTGTTACCTGCTTTCGAGCTCTATTCATAGGTTTACAATGAAAATGGAAGAAAACCTTTATTTGCCACACCAAAAGGCAACCAAATACGAAATAAAAATCAAATTCATGCAGATGGATAATGGAATTGATTGCTATTTTAACGACGGTTGGGTAAAAGGGAAGAAAAAGTATTGAAGGCCGAATATTACGTCGTTGGCTTACAAATGAGATTTACCTATGACGTCACAAGCAGCTCAGAATGTAAGTGTGTGGGCGAGAAAGATGGTAAGAAAGAGAAAGAAGAAGGCAGGTCAAAAGCAGCTAAAACAGTTGGCGGAAGAAACTACACGACGCGACTATGCGACGTCAGACACCGAACACTTGAGCACGCATCTCGCTGCAAAGAGGCACCAACAACAATAGCAACATCACCAACAGCAGGTAAAAGAGGTACCAGTAGAAAGAATACAAAGTAGAGGTGATAATAAGATAAAAAATAAACAGAATGAGAAAATAATTTAAGTTGAGACGGCTAAGAGATACCCTGTACGAAAAGTACGAAAAGAATCAAGCTATCGGTAATTTTAAATGCACTTGATTTACTGCATATTGTAGATGAACCTTTAAATATAAGACACAAATGACACACATTTGATTTTGACTTGTAACCAAATGTAATATACCCTTTACGTGCCCAATAACTGTAGGGTATAATCATAATAATAGAGCTTTAATAGAGAGCTGGTCGCGCACTTTTTGGCGCTGGCCAAGCTGAACGTACGAACGATCATTTCAAGTTCAATTTCAATTTCAATTCCATAATTTAAGCTTCATGGTCAAAACGTAACGAACCGAGCACAGCAAGAAATATTAAACACAGTCAAATTATATTGTAAACGAGCGAAGACGCCGCAACGGACAACAAACAAATAGAGGAAAAAGAGTTCAAGTGTAAAGGCAGAGAACAGGGCAGCAAAAGGCGAATGTCAAGAGCCAAGCAACGTGCATGCGATTTTATGGAAGGTTAAATGCGCAATGCTAGGCACGACATATGATTGTGTGGTTGTGTGTGTGTGTGTGTTTGACTTTAAGGTGAATAACCATAGCAAAACGCATGCAAATTGCACACACAAACACACACTGTGACATGTAGCAAAATACCTTGTCCAATAAGAACATTAAAAAGCTGCAATTGTATGTGTTGTGTGCTTCAAATCGATTGCGTGTGTGTAATCGATAAGCTGCACAAAGCGTCCTTGGACGCTGTTTTCTTCCTGTGTCGCCCCCACCCTCTCACCTGTATTATAGTAATCATAATCGTCGTCAAATTCCCCATCGTTGTCCGATTCCAATTCCATTTCAATGTCCGAGTCCATTGCAACTCTGTTCGAAGGTGGCAGTGGCAGAGGCGGGGAAGGAGGTGTGACAGGCAGCCTTGCCTCTGCGTGTGTGTGCGTTTGTGTTTGTGCGTTTCTCGCTTGGTTGCCCGTTTGCCCGTTGCCTTGCCTGACGACGACGATTGAAGGGCGAGTAAAGCAAAATCGTAAAAATACTTCGTTACAAGGCTACTGCACGACCGAGGGGGTTGGCGGGGGTCTCTTTTGTTGTTGTTGTCGTCGCTGCTGCTATATTTGTAACAGTTGCTATTGTTGGTGGTGGCGTTGCTGCTGCTGGTGGTGGGGGAAGATTTAGTTATTGTTTTTGTGCCGTGGGGTACGTTGCAATTTTCGTAACGTCGTTGTCGCACTCCCCATTTACATCGCTGGCTGGAAGAACTTTAGCTTAGCGGGGTGGCAACGTTGCTGCCAATAGATCCCGTTTTATTTTCGTTTCTCACACACACACGTACACGCGTAAGCACACACATGCAGAGCTGGTGCTACTGCTGCTGCTGGTGCATTCAATGCTGTGCATTTGATTTTTTTGTAATATAAATAGACACTGACTACACATTCAGGTTAATTCTTTCTCGCTTAGTTTCTGTATTATGTGTGTGGCAATCAGCATGCAATTATTTTTACTAGCAGCATTCAATTCCTTTGTCTTTTGATTTTTCGCAGCGCCTGCCTGCCTTACACTCGCACTCGCGCACTAGCTGCGTTGCTCGCCCCTCTCTCTATCTCTCTCCGATTACCCCCTGCACTCTCATCAACACACTCACTCACACAGAGCAACACCCACACGACGCTGCAGGCACACACAACACGGTCACCAGCACGAGTACGAGTACGTAGCACAGTTTACGTCAGTAGCAAATTGCGCAGTTTGATTTATTAGCTATTGCACTTTCTACATTTATTAATAATAACTTATAAGACACGGCGAAAAAACGCTCTGCGACGCAGAACTACAAAACACACAGTGTGACCATAGCTACCATACTAAAATATGCAGAACAGCTGTTTGTGGTGGTTGTGCGATAGACGCTCGCTTTCATAGCGCATTATTGCGTTTACACTTAACGCATCTATTTACTGATAGTTATCGACAGTAAGTTGGATCCCTTAGTTATCGTTCCAAAGTTGCCGGCAAAACTGCGTTATTTGTCGACATTGTGAAATTGTTTAAAAGTATTAAAAGAATAATATGTCAACAATCGAGAAACTATCCATACAAGGTGTACGCAGCTTTGGCGTTAACGCCGAAGATATGCAAGTAAGTTTCTATTTGAAGCTATCCTTAACACCTGTTGCTCATCCTCTATTATTAGAGCCTCACATTCTCTTCGCCGATTACGCTAATCCTTGGTCAAAACGGATGTGGCAAGACCACAATTATTGAATGCTTGAAATATGCACTCACTGGTGAACATCCACCCGGTAGCAGCAGCGGCAAGCATTTCGTACACGATCCCAATATATTTGACAAAAATGAATCCTTGGCCCAAGTGAAAATGCTAGTGCGCGATCGGCGAAATGTCCAGATGTCCATTTGTCGCAGCATGAAGGTTACCAAAGTGAAGAAAAACCTTACTTTTAAAACTATAGATTCCACGGTCAATTTTCTGGGTAGCAATGGAAAGCCCTCAAAGAACAGCCAAGAATCAATGAGCTCTCGCGTCATCAATACGGATATGGCCGTTTCCGATTTTATGGGCGTGTCCAAAGCGATAATTAACAATGTGCTATTTTGCCATCAAGAGGACTCCAGCTGGCCACTGGACGAGCCCAAGAAGCTGAAGGAGAAATTCGATGCGATCTTTGGCATAACTGAGTACAACAAAGCTCTCGATAGGATCATCAAACTGCGAAAGACAGCCATGGAGGAGTTGAAAGTAATGAGTATGTAACGAGTTACCAAAAAATAATAAGCTAGTAACTAACATTGATTATTTATATTCCGCTTCAGATGAAAAACTTAAACTATTGGAGCACCTGAAGAAAGAAATGGATGAGAAAACGATGAATCTGCAGAAGGCGCAGCGCCAATGTGATGACCTTAAGGAGGAGTGCATTAAATGTGATGAGGAAGTGAAGCCAATTGATGAGCGATTGCAGGAGATCCGCAATATTGAGTGCGAAATAGGAAAATATCAGGCGGAGAAAGTCAAAATGGATACCAAGTATTGAACACATCAGTTGCTTAGCCATATAAATAGAAACTATTTAAATCCCTTATTTCCGATAGGCATCAAAATTGTGTGGAACAAATAGCCAAGCTAAAGAGACACATTAAAACGCCATTCGAGGGCTCTCTCGTTGAATTGGAGGCGGAGATGCGTAGCTTCAGCCAACGAATGTCCGAATTAAAATTTCAACTCACCGATGTGGAAGATCAGCTGCTGCAAATGCGTAAAACGAAGGAAGAGCAACAGAAGACGCTGGCGAAACAGGACAAGGAACGTTATATGGCACAGCAAAAGCTAAAGAACGAACAAGCATGCAAACAGGAACTCACAAGGCATATTCAGACTTTAAGTGCTCAACTTCAAATAACTGTGGAAGCATCTGTCGTTGACAATCCACAAAAATTAAGTGAACTTCTGGATGACATCGATGGGAATCTTATGGCCAAGCAGTGTGAAATCACAGAGCTATCCGAACTCAATGATCAGGCGGATCAAGCACGTCAGGCAAAAATCGATGACCTGCGCACTGAGCTAACCAAATCGGAGCAGAGTATAAGCACACGGGAGAAGCAAAAGGTGGACAATGAGCGAGACATCGAATCATTGGAGCTGAATATCAAACAAATTGAGACATCGCAACAGCAGCTCAAAGTGGTAGAGAAGCAAATCGCGGATACGGATGAAAAATACGAACGTTCGACGCGTAACTTCAATCAGGAAGCTTGTCGTCAGGTTATAGCTAGCAAAAAGGCAAGCCGAGATAAGAAGCAGGCGCATTTTAAGCAGCTCGACGATCAGCTCACATTTCTCAGCTCCATAGCCAAGACAATAACTGAGATTGCACTCAAGGAGAAAGAGCTGGAGAAGAAGAATCATGAAATACAACGCGTGCGCAGCAAACATGGCGATAATCTGGGCAAATTCTTTAAAGAAGCTATATCAAACAATTATCGTCGTGCCATGCAAAATGAATACGATAAGCTACGTAGAGAAATCGAGGAATTGAACGTAGATGCCGATGGTAAAAAGTTGGCGAAGCAATCACATGAAATCAAGCGAAAGAATCTAATTGAAGAAATCGCGCGCATGGAGAAGGAAGTGCAGGACTCTGAAGAGCGAATTTATCAAAAATGCCATGCCATGCCCTATGATGAGTTGCTGCTGCGCAGCAAGACAGCCATAGCTAAGCTACAGCTGGAGCATGGAGCCCTTAAGTCTGCCGAAGCCATGTACAACAAGTAAGATATCTAACAATCTACCTGTCCCTCAGTAATCTGTTCTCTATTCTAATCTTGCAGGTATATACAGAAAATAGATGAGGAGCCCAGCTGCCCGCTGTGTCATCACAATATGTCAGGGGATGAGGTGCGTCTATTATTATAGTTATCAATCATTAACTGAGCTAATTCTCTACTGTCATAGGCCTGCGATTTGACTACCGAGTTAACGGATGAAATACAAAAGCTGCCGGATAACATAAGCCGCACAGAAAAGTCTTTAAAGGCTGAGCAATCGAAGTATGAGCAGTTGCTGCAGATTAAGCCAACCATTGACAAAGTTAAAGAACTGAAGGAGAAGCTGCCTAAGAAGAAGGAGGAACTTCGCATTATTGAACAAAGTCTAGGTGATATAGTCGGCGAATATGAAACGCTAATGGCTCAACTTGGCGAGCCGACGCACAATATGGACTTGGCCAATTCGATGCTGGGCGATATGACGCTTCTAGATGAGGCGCTCAAGGAATCTATGCGCGTTAAAAAGGATTTGGAACAGCTAAAGGTTCATACGCTTTAAAATTATACTTTAATTTAAATATATATTCTAATGTATATATTTAAATTGCAGGCTAAATTGCCAGAGAGCTATGATGCCAGCGTCTCCATAGAAGAGTTGCAAGCGCAAAAAGCAGAGGTATCCAAAGAGGTAGATGCTGAGTCCAAGGCGCTGGAGACAAGTCAGCAAACATTTGAACAGCAAGTGGAAGCGTTGAATCGCTTGCATGAATTCCTAAATGGGTAGAATTTAGTTATATTAATATTATACAAATATACTAAATAATCTATTTTTTGTTAGCTTAAAGGACAAACGGATAAAGCTGCAAGAGGGCGTGCAGAATCTTCCACAATTGAAGGATCGACTAGAAAAGCTTACTCGCCTGGTCATTACAATAAGCACGGAAATTACTGAGCTACGATCAAAGCTACTGCCACTTAAGCAAAGATTAAGCGCAGCTCTAACGGAAAAAGCGCGCTTGAAGGAAAGTGGGCGAGTTAAATTGGAGCAATTGCAGATTAAATATATGGAATACAAAAGCACCGATAAGGATATCCAAAGGTAAACAATTGAAACTGTATCTATATATATATATATATATAAATATATCCCTTATAGATTAAACGAACAGGCACAAGAGTTTGCCAAGCTGGATCTAGTGAATGCCATCAAAAAATTCGATGCTGCCGTAAATGCAACCAAAGTGGAACTTAATAAATTGGTAGCTATAAAGTATATCTACTTCTGTATATCTATTCCTACACAACCTATCTCATTCTAGGATACACAAATACAAGAAAAGAGCGATAAATTGGAAGCCATTAAGAAGAAATGCTTCGATCAACAGGCTGAGGAGCGCGATCTAAAGGACAATCGCGAGCTGAAGCAGCTACAAATGAAAGAAAGTGAATTAAGTGAAGATTGCCAGAAGTTGTCAAAGCAATTGGGAAATCTAGATTTTCGTAGCGTCACAAAGGAGAAGAACGAACTAATGAAGAAACGTGATGTAGCTACCGTACGACGTGGCGAGCTACTTGGGCAGCAAGGCGAAATCAACAATCAAGTAAATAAGCTACAGAAGGAGATTAATGAACCCAGATATAAGGAGTCCATGAAGAACTATATGCAAGGCAAGTTCGAGGTGGCTGTGAAGCGATGTGGAATCGAAGATCTTGCCCGTCATCGCCAGGCCTTGGATTGGGCTCTGATTGAATTTCATAAGGAGAAAATGAATAACATAAATAGTTTGATACGAGAGTACTGGCGCATGATCTATCGTGGCAACGATATTGATTATATACAAATTAAAACGGATGAGAGTAGCACTGAAACCTCTGCCGATCGGCGTAAGAACTATAACTATTGTGTGGTACAGTCGAAAAATAACTCCGTGATTGATATGCGTGGACGTTGCAGTGCCGGACAACGTGTCCTTGGTTCACTTATCATACGAATGGCCCTGGCGGAAACTTTTAGCAGTAACTGCGGTGTCCTGGCCTTGGATGAGCCCACAACAAATCTGGATCGTGATAATATAATGTCATTATGCGACGCACTCAATCGCATCGTCGAAAGTCGCCAACATCAATCGAATTTCATGCTCATTATAATTACACACGACGAGAACTTTATCTCCTCCCTGGGCAAAATAAGCGAGTATCATCGAGTGCATCGCAACTCTGAATGCAAATCGGTTATACAAAAAGTTCGAGTCGACGAGGGTAATTAGATATAAAAGATATACACATGTGACTATATTCCACATATAGGAAATATTTACTATACATTGGAAATAGTCGCTACATATTTACATATATATATATAAGATGAAATGTTACTATATGTCATATGAAAGGAATATTTATTATGTTATATTTCTATTTTTGAATAAGAATGGAAACATTATGTACGCATTCCTTATCAATTTTATATTATTGCTTTTATTATGTATCTGAATCCATTAAATATTCTTGTTTCTCAATCCTATCTGTGTCGATTAATGTATGCATAATGTTGACTAATTGACCTAATTGAATGATAGCTGTAATAAAGCTCTCCTCCTTCGGTCCCATAAATTCAGAAAATGATTGTTGACAATTGACGTTACAGGATATGTCAGTATTATCTTCCTTGTTCTCTCTTTCTCTACTCTTCTCGCACTCTCCCTTCTCTCTATATCTTTACTAATTCAGTTCTTCCTGCCTATCAATAAATTGATAATTAAAAGTTTTTTTAATTGATGTATTATATAGTTCGATTCTTAACTTTAGTGTCGATAGCTGGCTTCCCCTGCAACGTCATAATCAAAACTTAAAAAAAAAAATTAAATTCGATTTTTTTAATTTGAATTTTTCCCATCCACGGCATATGGCACATGGCTGCAAAAAGTTGGTATGGAAGTGCAGAAATCGTTGGCCAACATGAAGCAAAAGGGCCATGTCCTCAGCTGTCGAATGGCAACGGAGATAAGCTACCAGCCGTACTACTGCTTAAGAAATATCCACAGTACTATAAGACGAAGCAACAGGCAAACGATATAACCAAAGCATTAATCAACCATGAAAGGAAATGTTTTATGATACCGTATACAAAGAAAACAAATTCCTTCAATCCACTCAGCACACCACGGCTGACGAACCAGGTAGGAATTGAGTATAAAGTGAAGCGCCATGAAGCGAATATTGGTCTAAGTATTGTCTCTATAAAGTATGCAACAAAACCCGTTAACACACAGCTGTTCATCGTGCATGTAGCAAGCTTCTTCATTTCCTTTCCAGTTGTTCCAAGAGAATTCCCACTATTATTACGCCTTGCTTACTATCGATTGCATACATTCTTATCGATAGTTTAGTTACGTTAATGTTGTTCACTAAGGTTGTTAATATAATCGCAATTTGTAAGACTTTGAGAGTTTATGCAAGTATGCGAGGGTAGTCTGAACAGTGAACTATAAACTAACAAAATATATTTCTTACATATTAAATGTTTTATAATTATTTTAGAAAATTATTTATATATAAATATAAATTATAAATATAATTATATATAAATATAAATTACCTGTTCTGACTGTCCTTTCACAACAATCAACTTCCAAACAGTCTTCACTTTATAGCCGCAAATCCATGTAATGTAGCTACTAATATCAAATATAACTTCTGATTCACAGTTACCTTTGGTAAGAAAACACAATGCGTCGTATAAGCACTCCGTTCGCCTGGATCCTAATACCTTTGTGGGTCGCGTGTTTCCCATGATGTTTCGGCTACGTCGAGAGCAATGCAAATGTCTCAACTGTCGTCGAGCACTGGCGCTGCGTGAGACTGTGACTGATGTTGAGGATGTACTATTATTGTCAGATTGTTGTACTGTTGTGGTATATCCAAACAGGAAACTAGAGAATTGGAATCGTGTTACCGTCGGTACAATAACGGGACAGAAAACGCTATCCAAAAAGCAGCTAACTGAAACCTGCCAACTAGAACCCAAATCTATTGCACAGCCAGTTCCGGAAGAGCAAAAGATAATGCTGACCAGAAATTCAACAAAAAAAATCAAAAAATCCAAAAAATCCAAAAAACCCAAAAAACCCAAAAAAAGAAAATCAAAAAAAATCAAAAAGATCAAAAAGATCAAAAAAGTCAAATAGTTAACTTCAAGTTGAAAGTACTTCAAAACCAGATTCCACATTAAATAACGGGTTTGGATAGAGTTCACAGTTAACTCCTATAGATTAAGTTCGTATATTGAAAAAGCATTTTTTCAGTACTTTTAATCTATATGTCTTAACTGAACATTTCTGTCTACAATTGATTTGAAATCAGTTTTAAAGTAATTGCAATGCGAATGAAAAATATTTTTATTTTTATCAAAAAAAATGATGAAATTGTAAGTTGAAATGCAATTTGTACAAATAAATGAAGAAATATAATAAAACCAAAATAGAATTGTTGTAAGTGAACTGTAGTATTGTAAGCGAATAATTAATTGTGCGATAGTTGGGAGAGCTCGACTAGCAGATACCCGGAACACTGCGCAGTGCTGCTATGTCAATGACCCTCTACGTTTCTTTCATACATACATAACAAATGCTACCTACATAATGGGCTTTACTTTCGAAAACTAGACTAAGCTATGTATTTGGAATGGATTCGCTTCGTTGGACGAATCAAACTATATAAAAAAATTTGCTTATCTTATCATATATAGTATAAGAGTCTCAAAGGCACCCAGACAATATACTTAAGGCATCTGTAATGAGTTAAGATCATGATCACTTTTATGATATAAGACAAGCACTTAAGAGTTATTTTTATTAGACTGAGATATAAGCAAAGATATTTTAAGAGTAGCACAGATAGGGCATGGCTTTAGCTGTTATTTTTAGATTTAAATAAGGAGAAAAACGTATTTTGCAATTCCTTCTTTATTTGGCAGTTAGTTATAGGAATAGGAATAGAAACAGGAATAAAAATGGGAATAGGAATAGGAATAGGAATAGGAATATAGCAATATAAGAATATAGTATCATATACACACACCCCTCTGCATCCCTTCCTCTCTTTCTCTCTCCCTGAAGGCTCTACTTGGCATCGCATAACTTGGGTCCTTTGCCAATGCATGCAGCATAAGCCATTAGATGCGGAATCGTGCTCTGTTGCATGACGCCCGTAAAAAGATGACTCTGCGGTCCTGAGGCGAATATGCCGACATCGTCGCCCGAATGAACGCCCTGATCTTTGGTTATATAGCTAGGAAAGACAAAGTCACTTCCACCAATTTCTTGCGTCATATCCATGCGTTTGCCATTCGCATCCAAATAGTTCTTCGGACCGGCAGCATAGTTGAGCGTGCTATATTTAATGCCATTGACATCTGCATCGTGCTGATTGAGTCCGAGAATGGGTGTGCCTCTGCCGGGATAGCCAGATATTGATAGCGTGTGTCCATGATCCGATGTGACGATGATTAATGTGTCCTCAATGCTCGTCAAATCGCGAGCCAACTTAATGGCCTTCTCGAACTCCAGTACCTCATCCAAAGCATAGCCTGCCTTGGTATAATGATTGCCATAGTCAATCAAGCCACCTGGTTAGAGTAGATGCTATCAGCTCAGCTGCACTGATCGATATTATCTACACTCACCTTCAATAAAGGCAAAATAACCATTTTTATTTTGACTCAACTTCTTGATGGTGACCTCCGTGAGCTCGGAGAGCGTAGGCTGGTAGCTGGCATCTGCCTCCAAGTGGAAATCCATTAGCGAGGACTGAAAGAGGCCTACAATGCTGGAGACTGCGGAGACATTCATGCTCAACAGCTGCTTGCGATTGGTGACGAGGACGCCACCGTCGTGCTTCGCCTGCCAGCGTGAGAGTAGATTAACACCATCCGAGCGCTCGCCTGGATTGCCATGCGAATCCTTAATGGACTTTGGCAAAAATTTGCCCATGCCGCCGCCAAGCATCACTTCGAAGTTTCGCCCAGGCACTTGGGTAACCAGTTGGGTGGCCATATCGACGCATTCCTTGGGGTCGACACCGTAGCTTTCCACATCCGTGTCGCATTCCCACATACGATTCGCTGTCTTGGCATAGGCGCCCGATGGACTGGCATGGGTGAGGGTTGTGGTAGTTACAATGCCCGTGGATTTACCCGCATTCTGGGCCCATTCGGCAATTGAGGTGAGACGATTATCTGGATTTTGGCTTTCCGTACAGTTGTTAAAGGTAACCGCAGCGCTGACTCCAATCTCAATGATGTTGGTCTTGACGCCGCACAGATACGCCGTAGCTGTGCAGGCAGAGTCCGGCACTTGAGCATTGGAGCAGTAGGTCTGCATCAAGAGAGTGAGAGAGAGAGAGAGAGACAGATAGAGATTATGTCTGCTTTTCGACGCTCATCTGCAGGCTTAGCTCACCCGACTCAGACCCGTGTGCGGAAACTGTTCGAAGCTCAGCGACGCTTCTTCACCAGTTCCGCCCGCTTTTTGACCCTTGAGTATACGAGCTGCTGCCACCGTGGACAGCGACATGCCATCGCCTAAGAACATAATCAAGTTTTTGGCCTTCTTGCCATTCGGTTGTGGCAGCTTCAATTTCCTGCCCAGCTCCTCATAAGCCAAGTCATACCAGAACTGGGGGTTCTTTTCCTCTGGCGGCGTATACTTTTCAGTGGCTATACCGGTGTCAAAGCGCGCTTGTATGAATCTCTTGCCAGTCAGCTCCTCCACATGATGAACTCCATCATGTGCACCGAGAGCAACGCCGACCAGGACCAGCACTAGGAGTATCAACTGATGCTTGAGGCACGACATCTTTAGCATCTACCACTTGGGCTTAGCTCTTACCAACTGATACAATTTTTGGCAACCTACCAAGGTTTTTATACATATTCTACTAGGAGTTAGAACTTTACGAGTATAGATTTTTATGGCTGAGTGATAGCAAGATCTTTTTCCACTCTATATCTCGAATGTTGATTATTTTTTTTATATCTACAGCTCAAGGCGAATCTATGGCACACTTTTGTTTATTTTTTTTTTTTTAATTATGATCAATCATTATGATTTTTGGTATGAGTGAGGTGCTTGACTAGAGAAATTTGAAATCTGATTACGAAAGCAAGATCAAAACGTTGCTCTAATCTTAAAATAGTTGCTGAGCTCATTTGGATAAATATTAAATAAACGTTGACTTTTATAGAACACGTGCTAAAGCTAAAAGATAACCGTTTCGCTCACGATTTTGGAACGTGCGGCTCAATTTATCAGGGTACAAGTTTTTCTGCCTCCTCATAAAACAAATTTTATCAAAAACTCGAGTTCCAGTTGGTTGGCCGTAAAAACTCTGGAATTTTACTCTTGTATTAATGTTCATGGACTACGAGCAGTAGGAAATTTGTTGTTTAATTTCCGCTCTTATAGCCACGAAAAAAGAAGTTATACAAATTTTGAATATTTGATAATTGATCTTTCTTCGCTCACTGAACGCAGAAAAATGCTCTTCTAAGCGATACATCAACTGCACAACTATCGATGTTTGCATTGTGCGCACGGCTCAATTATCGATACTTTGGCTGTACCGTCGATTCTTTTCGCAACAATCATTCGGCAGCCAAATCGTCCAACAACAACAGCGTGTCGCGTAATTATTTTTATTCCATCTCTTGCTAATAAAAAAAAATATAAAAAATTTAAAACAGCGCTTATATATTTAACTATATATATAAATACTTGTAAATAATTTGTTTCCATTTGTTTTTAAACAACAAAGTGCCGACAAACAACAGCAATAGCAACACAAACAACATCACACGCACTGCAGCTGCCAAGGACACGAATTATATGAAAGTAGTGCAGCTAGGAGCATGAAACGGCATTAAAATATAAAGAGTATTCAATAAGCAAAGAAAAGTACAAAGTTTCAAAACTAAAACAAAACTCAACGATTATAAACCAATTGAATTAGAAGTAGTATACAACGGGTATACAAAACACGAAATAGCGAGAAAGTAATTGTTAGCGCAGGAGGCAGAAAGAAGAATCGCAGCTGATTTAGCTATCAAGAATGGCGGCCAATAACTTGAGACAGATTCCATTGACCTGCAGTGGACATACCAGACCTGTGGTGCATTTGGATTTCAGTGATATCTGCGATAGCGGATATTTTCTCATATCGGCTTGCAAAGGTAAGTAAACAGTTGATAGTGTTGAGAATCATGAGCACCGACTAGACTATACCCTGTAAGCAACTCTGAGTAACATAACATTAACTTGCCATATATAAATTGAGGATATGCGTAGATATTAATCGCTTGCATTATCGATAATTAATATGATCGTACTCTGATCCACATATGTAAACGCCAGCCTCGAAATGGCTTCAGATAAGAACTTGTTGGCTGCTTCCGCCTGTTGCATATGTTAATTGCGGCTTCATAATACCCTACATGCTTCGAGTATAGGGTATGTAAACGCGTCCTTGTGTTATTTATATATATATGTACCTATATGCAATTGTATGGGTCGCATTTAAATATATTATATAGACAACGTGCTAGCTTGAGCTATGTCTAGCCTGGCCGCAACCTTGACCCAAATGCAAAAACAAAAACAAAATTAACACGAAACCAGTTTAGCAAAAACCCTTTGCCAAACGCTCGGCTGCTGTACATACATACATCTGTATGTATGCATGTATATATTTAAGATACGTTCTTTACCTTCACAGTGTCTACAAGCACTTTATATAAAAATATGTGTGTGTGTTTTGTATTTGTGCTTTCATAAATATTGTTACGGAAAGTATTTTTCCCATTGCAAGTTCAAGTTAATTTTTTATCGCCATTTAATGCAATGTTTCCCCCTTGTTTAGCAACTTTTTAAAAAACTTTATTTGTTGTCATTCGCAGGAAGCACCTTGAAACTTCTATATTTATAAACATATACATATATATACACACTGCAGCTGCGACACGTTGAAAAAACAAAAACAAGTCACAAGTTGCAATCGACTGTTGCCAACTAATAGATACTCTGTACCCATTATAATTGGCTATCTTTAAAATAGTTTTAGTGACACTAGACTGTTCCCAGTTTCCTGTTTTTTTGCGTTGTACTAAACAGTGCTTACTGTGTTCCCGTTATATTTATTCATGCAATTCTTACTGGAGCGAACCAGGAACAGTTTAACATACTTTGCCTTTATATGCATTTTTCCAATTGGACCTACTCGAATCATTAAAGGCTTTTACTATATCATTCTCTTTAAATACTCTTAAGTAGCATACCCTTTTTGTTTGGGAACAGAGCATATAAATAAGGTGATAACAACTGAACTTGTAAAGCGACAACTAAAAAACGAGAAAAAACTGATTGAGCGCTTAGATTTGCGTCCCTGCGCACATTCACAACCTGCCTCAAGCGGCAGCGCTGCTCCCGTTCTCTTTCGTCTGTCTGTCGATCACGTTGCAATGGAAATGACGTGAACTTGGTGCACGGCTGCCCATTTGCGTGCATAAATCGACGTCCACGTCGGCGTCGCAGCTGCTGCGTCAGGTCGTTGGCATTGAGCGCAGTCGTTGAGTCAAGGTAGCTTCCGCCGCTCACGCATACATACACACACACACATGCATACATTTAGACATTGCATTTAGAGATCGCAATTAAAATCGATTTCGATTTCTCGCGTCTGCCATTTTCACAGATGAGTCACACACACATACACTTATTATAGTCAGCGATTACAACTAAGAATCGATTTCGATCTCTTGTTGCAGATGGCAGCCCAATGCTGCGTCACGGCGATACCGGCGACTGGGTGGGCACCTTTGAGGGACACAAGGGCGCCGTCTGGGGCGTGGCGCTCAATCGTAATGCTACGCTGGCTGCATCCGGCGCCGCCGACTTCACCGGCAAGGTATGGAATGCGGTCAGTGGTGCCGAAATACACAGCTTCCAGCACAAGCATATCGTCAAGAGCGTCGCCTTCGATAACAGCTCCGAGAACATTGTCACCGGCAGCAATGAGAAGCTGGTGCGTGTCTTCAACCTGGAACAATCGGAGGCGGAACCCGAGCTCTATGTGGGTCATGCAGGTGCGATAAAACGTGCTCTCTTCTGCCGTGACGATAAGTGCATCATCTCAGCGGCCGATGATAAAACGGTTCGTCTCTGGGATCGCATGACCGGCATCGAGGTGCAACGCCTGCAATTCCCCAACAATCCAAACAGCCTGGAGATCTCACATGATAATCATGTGTTGACCATAACGCACGGCTCAACGATTAGCTTCTGGGAAATTGATACGCTAAAGAAGCTAAAGGAGGTGAAAGTCCCGACGAATGTCGCGTCGGCCAGTTTACATCCGGATAAGCATGTCTTTGTCTGCGGCGGCGAGGACTTTAAGATGTATAAGTTCGATTATATAACAGGCAATGAAATTGGTAAATACTAAGAAATCATATCCAAATTATAGTTCCTACTCTTATGATAATTTATACCAACAGAATCCTTCAAGGGTCACTTTGGACCAGTGCATTCTGTGAAATTTAGCCCTGATGGCGAACTCTATGCAAGTGGATCCGAGGATGGCACGCTGCGTCTATGGCAGACTACAGTGGGCAAGACGTATGGCCTATGGAAATGCACCGAGCCAAGTGAGCTGAACAACTCGCTTAGCTCGCCACGTGAGGTGCCGGCAAACTGATGTTGGAGAAGCACAAGTCGCTGCTATACAGCGCAAACACCGCCAATTCATAGAAAATGATTGAAAGAAACATCAATTTTTCATATTACATATTTCGAATCACACATAATTTGTAATTATATATTTCTTTTTCAAATGAAATGTTATCGATAACGATAAACAAGATTCCAGCGCTCTTCACTCAATGGCATTCGAACACATACATGCATGCACACTCACACACGTCAAATGTGCATGTATGAATAATTCTGGTATTCATTAGAAATAAATACGGAATCGGTTTCTTTTTGGCCATTTAAATGTGTGTGCCTGTCGCCCAGTTGTGCAGGTAAATGGTTGTAAAATTAAGCATAGTCTCGCCTTGATGTATTTCGGGTCGTTGCTGCAAATGATCAAACCATCTAGATAGATTTAAATAGTTCTCTTTATCCACAGGCGACAGGGATTTCTGTAAGCAACATAAAATAGCTATAAAAAGGTTATTTCTTACAGTTTTTAAGTTCTTACAATAAGATCACCGATAGCATAATACACAGCGAGATCGGCGAGTGTTATGAAGTGTCCCACTAAATACGATTTGCTGATAAATAGCTTGTTAAAGTCCGCTAGCAATTGCTTTGATACATATTTATCCTTCGAACCGGGTGCTACATAAAGAACCGCAAATTCAATCCATTGATAAACCTGTGCCTGCACTTCTTGGGTTACAATACTATTTTGTGCCGTCTCCGATTTGGATTCACGCGCCATGCTTTCTAGTATGGTAGCAAAGCCCGCGACCGTTTTGTTTTGGGCGCCAGTGCGTGTTACGACCTTGACAATAAGAATTAGATTAATGTCGCGTACATATAGAGCCCACTGTACCACACACGTTCTAATTTAAGTACCATTACCTGTTCCTCATTTAGCTGTATTTTACCGGGTGAAACGCCCAGGCAATTGGCTATTTTCTGCACCGTTGCAACGTCGCACATATTTATTAATTAGAATAATATTGTATTTAATATACAGACGCTCGAGTTAAACGCGAATGTGCAAAAATGTTGAGATGCGCAAAGCAGGTGTTTGCCAGGGGTGCAATAAAAACTGTTGGTAAAATATCGATAGGCCCATCGTGCGTGCCTTTATTCTAAAATAATATTGTAGGACACCGGAGCAGAATAATGAGCATAAAGTTAAATATTTATTGAATATAATGAACATAATCAAAAGGCAATTTGTCAGCCAGGGCTACAATATAATCGATAGAATAAAAATCAGAGACTATCGATAAGTTTAACGCGCGTACTTTTATGTGTCTAAACTGTCGTAGGCATGAGCCAGTGCTTGAAATGTAACATCGTATTGGAGCAGAAATATAAATAAGTTAGCGGTGATCATCAGCAGCTGGAATATATAAAAAGTTACAAAGGGACAATCACTAAAATGTGTATATACATACCGCTGGTATAAGTTCGTAGTCCAACTCAAAAAGGTCGCAGGCTACATGTGCCCGTACATTATCCTGCAGCTGCAATTCAAAATGATTTATTGTTTCCATCAAATCTTCGTCAACGCTATGAACAGTGTTCAACAATGTTAGGCAGTTGCTTTGCTGGGAAGCTAACAGTTAGACTTATATATGTATGTATTTCACAACACCTTACCTCCCGCTGGACGTTGTGATTGAAATAAAGAAGACAAAACATTTTGCACGTATGCATAAGAAGAAATAAATTATTGTATGCCCACCAGTTCCAGTGTGCTCCAGTAGAATTCTCAATAGCCTTATAGAAGAGGAACAGATTCGTATTAAAATTTATCAATGAGCTCGCATACAGCAACAATATCGAGAGGCCAAAAGTTTGATTGACAATTTTGGTAAAATGAAGAAGACTTCGATGTTGCAAGCGCAGCTCCTGAAGTGCGGCACGTCGAATGAAAATGCCCCGCTGCAGCTCTGCATGCAAAGACTTTACCAAGCACTTTAGGCGACGACAGATGCCCTCCATTAAAGTGTAGTAGAGCACAAAGGAAATGCTGGTCAAAGTGTTGGGTACGACGTAGGTGTTCCAATTGTACCACGATTTCCAAAAGTTTTCAACGCTGTTAAAGAACACAATGGGTATGGTGCAGCTAATAAAGATGAGCAGCAGCAAGAGCTGAAAGTGCACGAAGCGACGAATCTTTTTTCGTTTCACAATATATCCACTGGCCAAATCGAATTTGCCAATTGTGTCGAAAACCTGGCCAATGCGTCGCTTCCAGCTCAGGCTTATTATTATAATGCAGGCTATGTGTATAAGATAAGTGATCGATTCAAATATATAAAAGTTTCTCTCTAAATTGTTCAGGTCGCCGCTGCTGTCACTCAGTTCCAAGTAGGCAGAGAAGCAGAGCCAAACATAGAGCAGGAATAACCAGCAATGCTGCACTACATCATGCATGCGACTCGTACAGTGGGGCAATACGGCAAAGGGAACACTGCCGAACAGCACACAAATAATCAGCAGAAATCGCAGCTCCTGATGCAGTTGCTCTGCATTTGATTTGTACAGCTGTTGTGTAAGGTTCCAGTTCCTAAGCACCAGTATTTATCAATTAAGCTTCAAATATGTCTTGTGCACAAACATACCTTGGCTGCTTTCCAGCTAGTCCCTGTTGTAGCTGCGTCCAGGCAGCTATCCGACGTGCTTTACGCTTGAGCTTCAACATTTCGTTTGACATTTTGGAGGCTCTCATGTTTTTCAATTAGCTTTCATTAGGCACCTCCTGACAGGCTTCCAAGAACATTAATCAATTCCCACTTAATGATGTTAGATTTTATAATTTAGCATTTAGTTCTTCTGTTAGCTTTAGCATGAGCACTTGGCTTCATTTGCTGTTCTTCTGTGCCCGCTGGCTGGGCGTCTCTCCACCGAGCGAGCAGCTCAAATATCCACATCTAGTTTGGTCCTTGCTGCTTCTGGGCTGTGTCTGGTTCTTCACGCTGCGTCGCTTGATCACCATGAAGTTCTACAAGCAAGTCTTGACCATACAGAAGCTCTTCTATTTCGCAGAGTATCCAGCGAACATGTTGCTTACGGCTCTGTTCTCAATGCGTATTTATCGTAGCGAAGATTTCTATAGACGTCTCTGGCGGCAGCTGAGTCGCCTCAAAGCGCAGCTCTTTGTGGATGCAGATGCGGCTCGACTACTCGATACAGGATTACGAAAACATATATTGAAACTGTTTTGCATTATACTTGTCTTTCATTCGCTCTGCGTGCTGGTGGACAGCGCCTGGCTTAATTTTGAATTACTACCCAGCATTGCCAGCAATTGTGCCCATCAGCTGCCCAGCGCAATCATCAACTTTAGTCTGCTGCAATATATATTGGCTCATCATTTGCTCGGGCTGTTTTATGTGAAGCTGAACCAGCGTCTGGCGGAGCTACAGCAGCGTCCAGCTGGAATTCAGCTAAAGCTGGAACAGCTGCGTCTAACAAGCATCGCCTTAGATGGCATTCAGTCCAAGTTATTGGGCAGATTTGAGTTTGCATTGCTCGTGAGCTTTGGCAATTCGTTGCTGAGCTTCTCCTATGAAACATTCAATACATTTCGGCTTCTGGAGCTGGCCCAGTGGAGGGACTGGGTGCTCTATTGCTATCGCGCGTTGTGGCTGCTGTTGCATGGGTCTCGCACTTGGTTTGTGCTGCGCGCTAATGAGCGCATTATAGAGCAGGTGTGAGCTGTTTTTGTTAACAATTAACCCATTAACTGATTTTAACTGCCTTTTACGCTTTCTTCTTTTGTAGAAATGCCAGCAACGCCTGCTTCTCAATCAACTAGACGCGAGCGACACCCGCTTGGAACGTTCTATTAATCGTTTTTTGCTGCAGCTCCAGTCGAACCACAACCAACCCTTGGCGCTCTGCATCGAACTGGACACCCTGTCGCTGGGCGGGGTAAGTGCTGGCATTATCAATCAGAAACATCATAAATATCTGCTTTCTGTGCTTTTGTTCTGGTTGACAGTTTATCAACGCATTGCTGGTCATTGTTATATTCCTTATACAAATCGATTTGGGCAATAAATCGCTAAAGGGCTTTGTCTGAATAATGGTTACTCAATAAAGAAGAGCGTGCTAGGCTTTTGCTGTTTCATTTCTTTGCGAGATGCGTTCACGTTTGCAGCTGCAGCTGAAACGCTGCGACGCTTGGACAAGAAATTGGCTATTGGCTATTGGCCGACTTTTGCATTTGATTATTTGTGCTGTAAGCTGCCGGCTACGAGATGTGGCCGCACAGGCGGGCGCTGAGACCAGTTTGTTGGCCATACGATTGACAGTGAATCGGAGGCTGCATATGGCTGAACGGTTTGTTCTGATCAGTTCAGATGAGCATAATATTGTTTAACCGTATCCATATTCTTGCAGACTTCTGTGGCTTTTTGTCCTAGTGGGCAGCGTCTTTGCTGTTTACATGCTCAGCGAGTTGCAGATAGCTAGATACATCAATTCACCCACGGTGATCTCGGTGGATCGCGATTACCGTGGCTGGAATGGTACGCTACCTGCTGTTACCTTGTGCTACTATGATCACATTGATTCCTTCAAGGCCAATGAGCTGATACAGGATGTTTGGAATGTGTCCATTATTGATGAGGATTACTTTTATATTATGGACTTCTTGTATGCCGTGGTTAATGCCACGGCTACCAACTATGCTGAGCTAGCAAAATTTGCCAGCGATGAACGTTTCGATCAAGTGGATCTCTATCAGATTATACATACCATAAATCGACCCTTTGAACAGGTCATTAGCAGCTTTGATGCTGACTTTCAAGTGAATGTGGAGATGGTAATGACTGAACGCGGCTCCTGCTATGCCATCAATGCACCCATGTCCACAATGTTAAGCAAGAAGTAAGTAGAACGTAACTATAACTATGTTTAACCTTTTAACCTTTTCAATTATTGCAGAGATGCGGATTATGAACAAATACCACAGCCGCTGACCTGCCAATTTGGCAAGCAGCAATGCTTTATACGCATGGATCTATACGAGAGCACCGGCGTGGTGAGTATATAAATATATATCTATATAGTATAGGTAGCTCATTAACTTAAACTTTTCATGCAGTTGGATGTTCACTCGCCCTATGAAGTTTCCGCGTCGGAAGCCAACATTATTGCACTTCACAAGTCCGATGAAATAACAGCTTCCTTTAAGGTGTTAGAGACAGTGTAAGATTTGCTTATAAATTTCAGATTACAGACTAAGCTATATAGATATACCTTAATCCCAACCAGTGCTTCGAATAATCTGCGAGAACTAAGCGTAGAGCAGCGTAAGTGCGTCTTCAATGATGAGGAAACTTCTAATCTCAAGGCAAGTCTACTCACCAGTTTTGTCTTCAACTTCTCACAGACTCTTTGGTTGCCTAATAGGTATACAGCAAATCCTTATGCCTGGCGCGCTGTCGTGCTATCATGGCATTGGAAATGTGCAACTGTGTGCCTTTCTTCTATCCCTTTGTCGAAGGAGCCTCTTGTAATCCAGGTGGATTTGAATGTCTTTTAGATTTTAAGTGGCCCATTTGGGCGTTGCACATTTGTAAATGTCCTTCGACTTGCACGGAAATCGAGTATACCATGCAGACGGTCAAGAAGAGCTCTTGGGGCATAAAGGGCAATGACGAATCAGGAGTCATAGACATGGCAACATCTAGCTTTCGCTGGGATTTAATACCACCCAAGGTTCGCTTTCGACGCGATGTAGTGTTTAGCTTTGAGGATCTAATTGGTAAGCTATTGACTTTACCAGCAAAAAAAGTTTGACCAAAAATATTATTCCTGCAGTATCGTTTGGTGGTGCTTTGGCCTTGTTTGTGGGTGTAAGTGTCATGGGTTTGGTGCAAATGGGCTACGTTATAATCTTTAATATTTTGCTGGACATAATTAAGCTTCTGCGCTTTATTCACGCATTTTACTTACGAGCAGGCTGCCGTCGCCGAGCCACTAAGCCTTTAAGTCCCGATCACAGCAAGAAGAATATCTCAAGAGCTGAAACAGCAGAGTTACCTTTGTTTGAATATGTAAACTAATAATTGTTTATATCGAAGTGCCGTTAACGGCCTTTTGAAATGCGATGAAATTGTGTGTTTAGCTTATTTTAATTATCTATGTAAAATTCACCTTTATTTAATTCAATATTTTAAATGCACTTTTGAATGTCGATAAGTCGGCACATAACGATAAGTGCAGCTGCAGTGTGTGTCATCATTATCCACACATTATCGATATTTTATTTATACATATAAGCCAGCCCTGGTTGAAAACACACGTGCGGCAAAAATATTTGTGTGGCACGATTTACGTTAAATAAAGTCAATTTATCTAGCTAACCAAAATGAGTGATGATGAATCTAGTGATGGCTTGGAAGACCTTAAAGAACTGATGGCCGTGTATGCCAAGCATGAAGATAAAGCACAGAACACCCGTTCATCTACAATAAAGAGAGATAGAGAGGAGGCGGAATATGTCGAGGTGCCTACTGAAAAGTTGATATTCGGTGATAAGCAGGCATTTCTAACCAACTTGGCCAAATCAGTGGGTAAAAAACGCAGGAAACAAGACAGTGTTAACAAATCAGAAGCTGATGAGGATGAAGAGAAGACCGAAGAATCTGCAAAGAAACGGAAGCCAGCCTGGACAGATTCCGACGACGAAGACATTGAAGTGGGTGATGTGAAGCGACGCACACGACACACCGGTCCATTAACACATTTGCGCAAAGACAAATCCTACAAGGAATATCTTATATCACGCTTTCAACGCGTCATCGAACAGCCAAAGTGGGCATCACTCGAACGAAAGCAGAAGGAGAAAGGCGATGACTCCGATGACTCAGAGGAGGAGCAGCTGCTTAAAACCGTAGGTTTTATTGATCGCGAAGCCAAGTCAAAAGAGCTGCCTCCCAAAACGTTGCGATTTAAACGAGCACGGGACTTAAATCGTGCCACCTACAGCGAAGGAGTTGTCACAAGCATACAATTCCATCCGACTAGCACAGTTGCTTTGGTGTGTGGCGACAGCTGTTTTGCCAATCTATATAGTGTGGATGGTCAAAAGAACGAGAAGCTGCACAGCATACGCTTCAAAAGATTTCCACTCACCTGTGCACGCATCGCACCGTGTGGTACGAAGGCCTTCTTTGGTTCGGTGCGTCCTTTCTACTATGCATATGATCTGTTGGAGGCAAAAGAAACCAAATTGAAACTGCCCGCCAAGATGAATCATTTGCGTTGCTTCGAAGTCTCCCCATGTGGCAAATACATTGCCACAGCTGGCAAATTTGGCGCCATCCATCTGCTGACCAGCCATACGAATGAGCTGCTTCACAGTTTCAAGCAGGAGGGTGAGGTGCGTGGCATGTGCTTTACAGCGGACTCACAGCGTTTGTTGTGTAGCAGCTCTGGGTGCAATGTGAACGTGTTGTCGCTGCGACAGAATTGCATTGAGCATGCTTTCATTGATGATGGCTGCGTCAATGGCAGTTCGATGCAACTGGCGCCCAATCAACGTCTTTTGGCAACGGGCAGTAACGAGGGTGTGGTCAATGTTTATGACTACGAAAGCATCTACAAGTCGACGACACCGCAGCCAGAAAAACGCTTCATGAATCTGCGCACAGCGATTACGGATCTACAATTCAATCATACATCGGAGCTGCTGGCTATGAGCTCACTTCAGGTACCAAATGCCATGAAGTTGGCACATTTTCCCAGTGCTACGGTCTATGCCAACTTTCCGGATCAACAGGACCAGTTGGGCTTGGTCAGTACCATGGCCTTTTCGCCTCATAGCGCTTATTTGGCCTTGGGCAGCAAGGGCAAGAAGGCGCCCCTGTATAGACTTAAGCACTACAGCAGCTATTGATTGAATGGGTTATATAAAATAGTTCGTAAATTTACAATACTTTTTTGTATATTAAAATGATAAATGATAATACACTGTTCTTAATTTTCAAGAGTTTCATAGATGTTCAACTCCTCCGTAATACTCTTCTGTACAAATCAGATTTTATTTTCATTTTTATTTGATTTAAAACGTATTTTCTTTTAATAGGGAGCTCTAAAGATATCTCGTTTTTGTGTCTCATGTATCTTTCCGATGTCATCAAGTTTCTTGCATATGTGTGTTGACTGCGATTCGATCCATTGTAGCGAATTCATGTGTGCATTCAATATCTTGCCAATCTGTATGATGGGATCTGTGTGATCTTGCCCTTTGTTTGCCTCATTTAGATTATCGATCACCTCTTTTAGATCCTCGGACATTTGCTTAAGCTGCGTATCGAGATTCTCGACCATCAAATAGGTCTGGCTACGCTCCTGATCGACGCGCGGCAAGCTTGTGAATTCCTTCTCTAGTGGGCCGAGACTCTCCTCTAGCTCTTTGTGCTGCGTGGCTATGAATTCTAGCTCCTGGTCGAGCACTTGTTGATCGTTCTTCACCTTTTGCACTGCATCGTTGAGCTCAATGATCTTTTGATTGTTGCCAATGAGCAGCTTATCCCAGGCATTTATTTGTGTAGCCTGCTCTGTGAAGACTTTCTCCTGCTCCTCGAACTCCAAGGTCCATTTGTTGATGTGCTCCTCCAGCTGATTGTACGACAATTGCGTAGCATTTGCAACGGCTGCAGAGTCCGTGGTCTTTGTTGCCGTGGACAAGTTGGCAAAGGTGGCGCCAGTTGTTGCGGTTGGTGCAGCAGCCGCTGTAGCAGCTGCACCTCCAAGAGGGGCTGTACTAGCCAGTTGGCCAACAGAAGCAGCAACAGGCGCTATCGATGTCGATGTAGTTTTCGGTGCAGACCCTAGGACCAGCGACAAGCCACCGCCAAGTGGATTTGCTGTTGTTGCCGCCGCTGCAGGTGCTGGAGTTGTTGTTGTAGCTGTTGCAGCTGCTGGTTGTGCGAGAAATCCTCCAAAAGTAGGTGCGGCTGACGACGTTGGTGCTGATGTAGCAGCCGCAGCTGTTGGAGCAGCAGCGACACCTAGTCCAGCACCCAACCCCGTCAATGGATTCGATAAAGTTGACGCTGATTGTGTGGCCGCCAAGCCAAAGCCCCCAAATGGAGGTGGCGCGGCGGCTGCCTTCCCAGCATCAGCATCGCCGCCACCAATGTTTGGAGCTGCAGCTGGTGCAGCAAAGGCAAATGTAGGTTTGGCGGGAACCGCGGCGCCGGCATTTCCGGCACTTGCTGGTGTTGCAGTGCTAAGACCAAACGAAAAGCTTGGAGCGCTGGCGGTTGTTGTTGTTGCAGGCAATTGGAATGACATCTTACGTCGCGTTAAATATGCAAAAGAATATAAATTAAATCAACTTAACGCACGATGCATACGTAAATCGCAGCGAATATTTCACAATTTATCGATAACAACACGGCACTGCAGCAATGTTGTAAAACACAGGCAGGCGTTTTGGTATTTTTTTAATTACGAGCTTAGTTGGATTTAACAATATCCAATCTCAATCGTAAACCGCCCGCGAAACTCTTCGCTCGCAAAGATTTAATTGAAAAACTGTATTGTCCATCATTTCACAATGAGGGACTAGATAAATTATCATGTAGGTGTGAAGCTATTTCTAATTGGATTATGTTTTAATTTGTCCGTATGCTTCTATTATCTATAAGAGCCTGATAAATGCCATTTGGGTCAAGAATATTTAAACAGTTATATATTTTTTTAATTAAAATCACTTGAGAGTGCATTGGAAACCGGCAGCCATGATGTTTTAAACAGTTATTTGTCTATGCCATTGCATGTGGCAAAAAAGAAAAAATTACATTACGCGACAAAATGAAGTAATTGATTAAACTTTAAACTAGCATTTTATGACTTTTTTAGTTTTGGTAATTGTGTATTTATTGTTGTGTAGCATAGTGGTATAACGTATTCTGCTTATACGAAATACACTGCTTATTGTTAAAACTTTTTGTTGACGTGTGTAACAGCCAGAGGCTAAGAGTAGATAACCTGCAACGCTTGAGCGCCTGAACTTGCAGCTGATGATAAGGAGCCTTTCCAGTAGCAAGAACAACAAGGCTGTCTCCCCGCTGTGCGAACTGTTCGAATGCTTAGTTCAAGCTGTGTGTGCTCTTCAATTACAGTTAACAAATATCGCTTGTCAGCCAAGTTTGTTTATTTGCGCAAGCAGTTTGATAAACAACAGTTATCTATAGATAGACAGCTATAAAACCGTTATAGCGGCCTGGAAAGGACGCATTGCCTGCACTGTGCTCGTCGAAGTATGTTTGGCATAAGGAACGTTCCGTTGTTGCTGCTGCTGTTGATACAGTTACTCCATGGTGGCTCAGCACTTGATAATGGATTGGCTTTGAAGTAAGTCGTATACGATTTGATATTTAGTGTCTAATGGTGGATTCGTTGCAGACCGCCCATGGGTTGGATGTCTTGGCAGCGTTTTCGCTGTATCACCGATTGTGAATTGTATCCAGATGAGTGCATTAGGTAAGGTACGCCTGCTCTAACAACGGTTGTGAGCTCTCAATCCATCAATTATTTAAATAAACATTTTCCTTTTCTCCTTATAGCGAAAAATTATTCAGACGCAATGCTGATCTAATAGTTTCGGAGGGCTATGCTGATGTGGGCTATGAATATGTCATTATTGACGATTGCTGGCTGGAGAAAAACCGGGATAACAAGACAAACAAGCTAGTGCCGGATCGCAAACGTTTTCCCAGAGGTCTCAACGTGTTGGCGGATCATGTAAGTTAAAAAAATCCTGTTGAATCCTTGTCTAACTATTCACATTTGGTAGATACATGCAAATGGACTCAAGTTTGGACTGTATCAAGACTTTGGCACGAAAACGTGTGCTGGCTATCCAGGTGTGATCAATCACATGGCACTTGATGCCGAAACCTTTGCCAATTGGGATGTGGACTATGTGAAACTGGATGGCTGCTATGCAAATGTTAGCGACATGGCAACAGGCTATCCAGAATTTGGACGGCTGCTGAACTCAACGGGCAGACCCATGGTCTATTCGTGCAGCTGGTAAAAGCTATAGCTGGCATATATATATAACATTTTGAATATTAATTGAGCTAATGTTCAGGCCTGCTTATCAATCGGAATTGGGTGAACTGCCTGAATTTGAATCACTGAAGCAACACTGCAATCTTTGGCGCAACTGGGATGACATCGACGATTCATTTGAGTCTGTTATGCAGATCATTGATTACTTTGGCAAAAATCAGGATAGCATGCAACCACATGCCGGACCAGGGCATTGGAATGATCCGGATATGTTGATACTGGGCAACTATGGCCTGAGCTATGATCAGAGCAAGCTACAAATGGCCATTTGGGCTGTGCTGGCGGCGCCCCTTATAATGTCCAATGATTTGGCCCAGGTGCGACCAGAAATTAAAGGGATATTACAAAATCGGTGAGTCAACGTTTACAGAATATAAATCATTATACTATAATAATATATATTTTATTATGCAGCGATGTGATTGCCGTCAATCAGGATTCTCTTGGCATACAGGGCAAACGATTGCTCATGAAGCAAAATATTGAGGTAACTTCTATGATTTATGTATATTTCAAATGACATTTAAGTATATTGCTTCATTCTTTTCTGTAGGTCTGGCGTCGACCTATTACACCTAAGGTAAAAGGGGAATACTCTTACGCCGTGGCATTTGTTAGTCGCCGTACGGATGGCGCACCCTATCCCATATCATTTACGCTAAAGGAGGTAAGAAGTTGAATACATTTCTATACTATATCATATATATTTATTACTACAATCTTCCTTAGCTCTCGCTAATCAATGATAATGGCTACGTCGTTCAGGTAAGTCTCGTCTCATATTTAATACACTAACTTTTATTTATATGCTGTTCTTGCTTTCAGGATTTGTTTGATATGAATAACAAACTGGGCGTCTTTCGTGCTGAGAGTCAATTCAAAACACGCATTATACCCAATGGTATTTTTAGTCCTTTTCTATGCTATACAATGAACATAAAGTAAAAATTTCTGTTCCGTTTTAGGCGTCAATTTCTACAAATTTACAGCGCTGTAAAGAGCTACGCAACAGCTGAGCTGAAGATCTGGAGCAGCTATAACCACATATCCATTCGAATCTATAATAATTGACTCTAACTTTGACATTTTTCAAGTAAAGTAAAAACAATTTTTATATTGAATTTGTTGTTTATTTGCACTTTACAAATTGTTTAGAATATGCTTTTGGCTATGCATAAAATTTGTATAAATACATTTGGAAATGTATTTCCATTTTGTTAGTGTACATTTTGTTTTTGTTGGCATTTTGATGCAAATTTATATAAAGACAATAGAATAGAAGTTCGAGCATGATATAAATAAGAGAGAACTTTGTGAAAATGTTTTAAGCCTGGCCATAAACTTAATAATATTTAATTAATATTGCATTAGATAGATACGACCGTGTTCACCGAAAGAGAAATGAGTAGCTAAATATTAATGAAAAGAATCCAAATGTACAACCGATTTATATAGATGTATATTGTTAGTATATAGCAGCTAGATTTAAACAGTAGTTGAGGATTATTGTCAAGTAAAGTTTCAGTTGTTGCGGCTGTTGCTGCTTCGGTTAATGCACTCCATTGGTTAGATTGTTGTTGGGCGTGCGCTCATAGCTACGTCGATGCAGTGCATCCACATCTTTAAGATAATAGGTGCCCGGGAATAAAGCACTGATGCTGCCCGTTGGCGTATAAGGCGCTGCATGATTGTTCTTCTCCCTCACCTCCATCAGCTCTGAAAACCTCTCTGGAGCGACCTTCTCTCTTGAGTTAAGCAGCGGCAATACATAGTCCAGCTGCGAGACAAACTTCTCAAACACAGCCGCATCCTCCGTCACTTTAATCGAGTACATCGAGGCAGCTAGACCAGACCCATAGGAGAAGACGCCAATGCGTTTGCCCACCAGCTGAGCAGCCGGCTCGCTGATCAGCAGCGAGACCAAACCTGAGTAGACGCTCGGCGTGTACATATTGCCCACCTGGTTGGCTAGCAACAAAGATTTCTTGGTCTTAGCGGCAAAGAGCTCTGCCGATTGAGTGAGAAAAGCCTTCTCCACATCTCGATCGAAGTAGCTGCCCTCCAGTGTGGTTTCATTGAAGCGCTCCAGGCCGGGAAACTTTTGGGCACGCTCCGTTTCGCTGCTAAGCAAAAAGTCATTCAAACTCAACCGACCCACCGACTTCTGCACCAATTTACAGAAGGGCGTATGGAAGAGGATCGCATCAAAGTTCTGCAGCCCCAATGACTGATGCTGTGGCTGTTGCTTTTCGAATTTCTTGCGGTAGAGTCGATAGCAGGTGTCCAGTGCAGAGAGGTAACACTGTATGGAAAGTTTGCCATCGACTGTCGGGTACTCAGAACTCAGGTCGGGCTTATAGAAGTCGTAGGCATGCTCCATGTGGGTGGCACGTAGGCCACGCTCGAGAATCAGTGGCGCATTTGGTCCCACTAGCATGGCAATGGCGCCGGCGCCGCCTGTGGGACGGGCTGCACCTTTTGCATAGACGGCAATGTCGGCGCACACGGCTAGCGCATAGCGTCCATCCCAGCTGGATGACTCAATCCAATTTAAGGCATTAAAAAGTGCTGCAGTGCCTCCGTAGCAGGCATTTGTGGTATCGATACCTTCGATATCAGTGTTTCCACTCGTGGCAAATAATTGCATAAGCACAGATTTCACCGATTTCGATTTATCGACAATCGTTTCGGTGCCTACCTCCAGCCTTCCAATATCCGTATGCTTGATATGATGGCGTTCCAATAGGCGCGTGACAACCGTTAGGCACAGTGAGTTGACATCCTCGCGATCCGAACAGAAACCCATTTTCGCTTGGCCCAGACCGATTGTGTATTTGCCAGCGGATGCTCCATCGAACTGTTCCAATTCCGTTTGGTCCACATATTGCGAGGGGAAGAGCACTTCAATCGCGCGTATTCCAACATTTTCGGGCCAATTGCTTGACATGGCTTAATTAAATTTCTAATTGGTCGTTGTCTGTTGGAAGAGAGTCCTGTATAGTCCTGAGCGCTGAAAAGAGTCAAATAAGAATTAGTGCTATATTGGTAAAGTCGATGTAAATGCCACGCTGTGCCCATCACAACTTTCACCTCTTGATATTCTGCGCAATCAGAAAATCAGAAATCGTCTTTAAGTTATGCATATTGCTTGTAATACCTGAACAAATTGCTTAGGTTGGGGTAAAGCGCTTAAAATCAACAACCGCCGCCGTACATGAGCGCCACCTGTTGCACGCTCGAACTGCGCTGACAGCAGAGCAGCACACGCAGCAGCGACGTCGACTGCGGCGTTGCTGCGACCATGGAGCCCATTGGTTCCGATTTCGGTTTCGCTGCGTTGAGCTTTTCAGACACGCAAGCGCATGTGTGCGAGTGTGAGAGGGCGACATTGAGGGTAAAGACGAGCATTATACCTAAAGAAACTAGCAGCAAAACAAAAAACAACAACAGCAATCAGAAGCACTAAAATTCACGGCGAAGAAACTTTCTCCAAGCAGTCGAACCTTACTTTACAGAGAACTCAGCCAGCAGCTGAGGCCGAAACTCAAGCTCAACCGCAAGCAGAAGCAGCAACACCAACTATGCTAAACGGGCCCAACCCTAACATTAAAACTATGTTAAAATGTGTCGAGTTCATATTAATTGCAGAAGATCTAGATTAGTAGAGTTTATTGTTTTCAGCGAATGATACCACTAGTTTTGAGACATTTATCGCTGAGGTATGAATTTATATATTTATTGTTTATTATATATACCAGATATATATATATATATATATATATATATATATATATATAAATATATCTATATATATATAAATATATATATATAATATAATATATCACCTACACTACCTGAACAATTAGGGGTACTCGAAAAAAGCTTTTCTATATAATTTTGCTTAAAGTTTTTAAAATAATATAAAACTAAGAGAAGAATTTTTATATATAGACATATATAATAAATGTTCCAAAGCATAAATATTAGTTGCTGTTTTTATAGAATTTTTTTTATATATTTTTATATTTTTTATAAGTTTAATATTTCGTTTAAAGGTTGTTTTTTTACAAATTCTATAGTAAAACAGTTAATAAAAGTGCTCCAACTTTTTCTTAATTTTTTTAAATAGTTGAAATAATTGTAGATATTTATATTGGTTTTTTCCAATTCTGGTGTATTCTATTTGACATATATATATTTTACATATGTATTGAAAGTAAAAAACATTTAAAAACCGGATCTATATAAAACTCACATTCTAATTGGGGTTGGTAAATATCAAAATAAATATATATAAATATAATTTCCTGCGAAATATTAGTTAGCACCATAAAAGTTTGGAATGAATGTGCTAAAAAAATAATACAAAAAAAAAATAAATAACTTTAATCTTTGTAGTCTCTTTTTTCCTTTTCCACATTTTTTGGGGCTGGGTCAAGTTGTATTTTCTGACTGATTGGGTCTCTATGTAGGTCGCTGTCTAACGGTTAATATTGTATAACTGATAATGAGCGCCAAATCGTGTCAGGTTTACCGTTACTGTTAGCACCTGCCACAAATATTGAAATACCGAAATAGTTTTTATTTTTTCTTTTTCGATTTGGTCTGTTTTCACTTTTAACGTTTTATTTTGTTGTTGAAATTTTTAGTTGCGTGCGCAGCGCGTTGCACACTTCAGCGAATCTCTTTGCAGACTGAACAGCGCCAAGAAGAGTAGCAACGCTAGCAGCAGCAGCGACTGATCATTGGAAATGCGTGAACGTCGTCGGCAGCGACGACGACGACGTCGGCAGCAGCAGTGACGCAGACAGCAAACAAATGTAAAGAGCGAAGAGAGGGGAATAGGCATTGTAAGCCAATGTCAAATGCTTTGCTAAACAAGAGTGCTCTCTGGTTGGTAGTGCCACACTAGCTGATGCCCTGGAATACGTAATTTATTGCTTAGTTACAGAGAGTAATTGGACTACGAACTGAGGTGAGATAACATCAAAAGCGGCAATCGAATGATTGGCAGTAAACTGATAAGGCATCGCTTTATGAAAGCCGGCGACTATTGGTTAGTGGATAAAGCCATATCGTACGAGCTTCATTGTGTACGTGTTCCATTTCCATTAAGTGTCGGTGTTAGAGTTCAATGTTATGGAAATGCAATGCAAATATCGTGCTGTTTACGCAATGAGGAAGAGGCACATACAATTATATTGGTTTATTTATAGCTACCGCCACTGGAGATGAGTGTAAACAGACTAATTGGAAAGTGCTGCTCACTGGAAGAGGGAATGGAAATTGGGAATTGTTGCGCATCCGTTTGTGTACACAAATCATTCGCTTATTTTTTCTTTCTACTAAAAGGCTTGAGTCATCGCTGAATAATTGCACATTCATAGCAGCAGGCTAAAGGTTTAGCACCTACAAAGGCTAAGGTACCCACATACGTACGTACACATAGCACGTGTGCCTTTTCTTAGGTGCAAGGTAATTGTATTATGAAACAAATGAATTGAATTTGAAATGTCACAAAAGCTGCCAAGCACAGATAAAAACTCGAAACAAATATTAAATATATACATAACAAAGATCTTGCATTGTTTTCGCTTACATTTTCACTTACTTATTGTTTAATAACAAACACCCACACGGCCTTTTTATATATTTTATAAATTTTTTAAGGTATTAAGCTATCACGAATTGTGCTCGAAATTCATAACTGAGATATACAATATGTCCCTTAACTGTGTACACTATATGTTTAATATTTACATTCACTTACAAATTTTGGTATGCTAGTGCCAACTTAATTGTGCCAAATAATAGGATTAACTAAACTAAACTTTTAATAATTGGGCACGTAGTTAATAGGCGCCTACATAGAGACCGACATGGGCAGTGTGTACACACGGACTGCAGTACTGAACAGCTGTTTCGTCGACAGTGTGTGCACCCTGGCTTTCAGTCGATATATACATGTATCGTCATCGCCACTTATCACGTGAATCTTATGCGAAATTGTGAACTGTCATTTTTGTGTTGAGTTTCTACCAGAGTCTTGTGCTCCGTTTCGTACGTACATTGTGGGTGGTGCGGTTGAGTTGCTTGATTTTTATTAAAAACAATTTCAACGCACAATTAAAACTGTGTCTTTAATAATCTACGACGACTTTGACGTGTATTAGTGCCGTTTTAAATGTAAGTGTATCTTCTTTTAGTGCGTGTGCAATGCGACAACGCAGCAAATTGCGCGCATGAAAAAAAGTTATAACAGGTCTGCTGACCTGTTATCAAATGTTGAACAGTGTAATGGGAGTATATCAAACTCTGCCAGTGTCAAATAGCCAATTTTTTGCTAAGAAAAATCAAAAATGATTGTGTATATGTGCATATGAAATGACCCTGAAAAACTGTTGCCTCGTTCTATGCTCACCGACTTATCTTGCGTATGGTATTAATATGAATTGGCGGGATAATATATTCGTTGTATATTGTAAAATATGTTAGCAAAGGATTAGTTGTTTTGGTTTTTGGGTAGTAAAACCCGTGAGAAAATGAAAATATCGATCGAATAGCTGTCATGTGACTGTCACGAACAGCTGACTGTGAGGCGAACTCACCACCGCTGTGTGTATGTGTGTGTTTGTGTCTAGCTGTGGTGAATTTTTACCACTGTGCGTTATCGTTCTCCCTCTCTTCAACCTTTTTCGCTCTTTAGGTGAATGTTGGGTCTCCTTTGCACTCTCTCTCTCTCTACGTAAACAAAATATCAAGCTGCTCAATTTAGAAAAACATTTTAACATGTTAATATTAATTAAATTTATGAATTCTTCCGTGTTTCCTTTTACACTGCTGTCTGGCACACATGCATCAACTTTTTTATATGTGTTTGTATAAGGACTACACGAAATAGTGATATTGCGTGCGGTAAGGACCTTGACTGCGGCTGACCAGATATAAACTTGAAACGAAAAGCCAAACGCGCTTCTACATATTTACATTTTTTGCTTAGGCAATAAAACACAAATGTCAGCAGCTGACTAAAAAGAAAAATAATTAAAAAAACAGCTGCTAGGTTAACACACTTTAAAGGCTTAATGGCAAGCCTCCCTTGCTCCCTCTCTTTCTCTATCTTTCTCCACATGACAGCGTACATTATTATTAATTAATTTGCCCGCTCGCCCGCTGCCTGTGTATATATATATAAATATTTATATGTATATATATATATGTATATTTGAGTGTGTGTCCGGCATTAACATCATCACAGTTATTCTAGTCTCTATTTTTGTTTTCGTCATCAGCGAACTGCAATTTCCTGTGTGGCGCGTCCTTTGTAGCTGAGCGCTTCTCTCCTCAGCTCGATATTCCTCTCTATTTCTCCACTACATTCTCCCACCACATTTGTGCCAGCCGTTGGCCAGTCTGACTGGCGACATATTCGCTTGCTGTTTTTATTCTTTGCTCTTCGCTCTTTTATGTCAACATCATTTACGCCTGTTTACAGTTGGAGTTTATAACTGGCAAACAGTGTTGCCAATTTATGTAGTTGATGGGTCCTTTTTAAGCTCATTTTTATGTAATTAGCTGTGGAAACATTTCTACATAAATTTAAATAAAGTTAGTCAACTATTGTTTAATGCAATTTCTATTTGTGTTAATCGCCCTGTGAATGATATGTTGAATGCGTCACACATGACCCGTAGCAAACATGGAATCGAATACATGTTTGTAAATATGTTCTACATATGTTTATATATATACATAGACATATATAAAGTTGGGTACGGAGCATTACTGGCCCCTTCCAGGCGCCTCCACTTAGTGATTTGTACGAAAGCAATTTAGATTTTGGTGCTAAAAATAGACACAGCTTTGTTGTTGTTCTTCCACTTCCAGCGGTTGCCAGGTTCTCATTTGTTTCCTGGTTGAGGACAATGCACTGCCTTGAATGTTGTCCTTGTTGTTATTATTATTATTGTCGTTGCTGTTGTTACCGTTGGGGTTGATGATAAGCATGGTTAGTTATGGCGGGGCAGCAGTCATTATTGGGGATGGTCAGCGCTCGATTTTGTTGTCATTTTGTTTATTTTCGTATACCCTGTAGCGGAATTTTCTGATGGCTCTGTCTGACTTGCAGACTGTATTATGTTAATATTCAGTATTACTTATACAATATGTTATTTTTCTTGCTGCCCGTGTCTCCGTCTTAGTTTCTTTCTATCTCCCTGTTCGCCTTTTCCTTTTCCTATATTTCTATCAATATAATTGATATTTGTATTACTCTTGTTTTTGGGGCCTTTCTATGAGATTCTCATGAGCTCAACTAATCCCGAGACGAAATAAGACTACTTTGTTTAGTACAGGGTATTAGGTTATGTTTGACTTTCACATATTTACAGACATATGTCTATAGTTCTTGGTTTTTCCTTTTTTTTTGTTTTGTGCTCTTTGAAGGCCATGATGAAGTTATGTAATAATAGTGGCTACCACTAAAATGAAATTGACCAAAGTTAGATTTGTATCTCTCGCGATGATTACTCATACGCAAACTGACCTTACTGCGGACAGCCACAACAGCAACAAGAACAATAACAAAAACAACAAAGAGAACAACGACACTTACCAAATTGAAGAAGGCGGTTTGCGTGTCGCCGCTTCGTCATCGATTCCTTCGTGGCTGCGCCTTAGCGGCACCAACACCAAATTTCGGTGGCAAGCATTATTCCATATGGCAGGCAAACATCAGCAGCGGCAGCGGCAGCGGTAGCAGCAGCAACTGCGACGCAAACAGCAACGTCAGCTGCGGCGTTCAGCTCCAGCTCCAGTGCCATTTCCAGCGTTCATTTCGCATCGAACCTTCGCTGAGTGCGCACGAATTTTTCCACAATTTTTCGTCTGCTGGGCCATGCACGCCGCACCGCGTGGCCATATCAAAATATCTGCCAGATATTTAAGTTTTCCTTTATCAGATAGACTGATAAAAGCGAAACTAAATTAGAAACTATGCCTAAAAAGCTGCGGCTCATACAGATTGAGCAGTTCTTAACAATATTATTGAAACGCAAACAGTGCTAGAATCGTAAGTTGTAGACAAAAGTAATACAGTGCAAGCTCGCTAAAGCAAACAGTGTTGGCATTTTAAGTCAAAGACTAAATAATACTTTGCAAAAGTTGCTAAAGTAAGCTGTCGTGCAGAAAATGTACAGTAGAGTCTAATTAAACCGAATTTCGTCTATTTTTATTTTTTAAATCTCTTTGTTTTTTTGTTGCCGAAACAATTTGGGGCAGTCAATAATCTCTAACGTGCAAGCCTTAAAAAATACCAAAAATGATATATAGTATTTAAATTATTTCCTATATATATTTTTTGTATTTTTTAACATTAAAGTATGCAATTAATGATACATGCTTAAAAAATAAATAAAAAATTTATATTTCTTAAATTTATTTTTTTTTTGTTATAATTATAAAAACTAAAATTTATAAATATGAATATATTATATTTTTATATACACTACCAAAAAACAAAATTATAAACATAACAAAAATCTATTAAATCGAGCATTCACTATATTCAATGTTCAAGCATTGCGTATACGCAATGCTTTCCATAATTATATAATTCCACTTTGTTAAATGATTTTAAGTCACATATAGAAATTCAACTCTTCATTAAATATGCACGAATCAAATCAATGTTCTTCCAGCAGGGCATTCACTGTATTCAATGCGCACATATTGCGTATACGCCATGCTGACGAGTCGATATACAGGACACAAGTCTGCCTGGCGCCAAGTGTCTGCGCTTTGTTGTCTAGCAGGCGGTACCATCCCCAAAAAAAGAATAGAAAAGGAACTCTGTAATATACACGCGCACAACATGCAGTCACACACACACTTACAGAGTATTGTGTATAGCCTGGCAATGAATTGCATATTGAGGGTCGATCGCATCTAAATGTTAAGCTGACCCACGCTTTCGAGGTCAATAATTAAAGTTTAATGCGTGTTTAACCAGTGTTTGTTTGACTTTTATAAGGCCATGTATATGTAGCTATATATATTATATATATAGCTATATAAATATATCTACATCGAATCGATAGCAACTCAAATTACATAATGGAATTTATTTATGAACACGTTTTGTGTGTGCACAAATATTTTAAAGGCAACGTGAAAGCCTTATATAAACCAAATCAATTCAAATATATATTTAGCCAATGTATCATCTATTTTATATATATTCTTTCAGCTATCAAAATGATGTCCGAATATTGGATTATCTCAGCGCCTGGCGACAAGACTTGCCAGCAAACCTTCGACACGATGAACAATTTAACCAGCAAGCAACATAATCTATGCAGTAACTACAAGTTTCATATACCGGACTTGAAGGTGAGCAATACGGATAGCCTATAATTTGACAAATTTGATGATGATGAAATATGAATGTATACCCTGCTTTTAGGTGGGCACACTGGATCAGCTGGTTGGCCTGTCTGATGACCTGGGTAAACTGGATGCGTATGTGGAGCAAATCACCCGCAAGGTGGCCATGTACTTGGGCGAGGTGCTTGAAGATCAGCGCGATAAGCTCCATGAGAATTTGCAGGCCAATAACAGTAAGTGCTAGTCGTAATATCTATCAATATACATATATAGACAATTATACCAATACTTAGCTTAGCTTAGATTTAGTTAACAGTTTAGCTGAACCAACTCTATATATATTGTTTTTTATTTAGTTAAGATGTTTTTCTAGCTCATTTTTTTGTGAAACGGAATGCTCAGATATGTCAAGAAACATCTAGTCGTATATATTGTCTCTTCTATTACTAACAACAACAAATACTACGTTTAAAGCCCGTTTTATATTAAGTACACATACCTCTTTTTATATATATATATCCTGTTCGACTTGAGTATCAGCCAAAATTTGCTAAGTACAAAAAGGATACGAGAGCATTATTTATATATATATTTATATATATATAAATATAATATATCTGTCTTCTGGCAGTATCTACAAATTTGACTAACAGAACTTCAGCAAATCCTTTATATATCGATACACATCGATACTCGTTATTTCAGCCATAAAAATTGATTTAAAAACTAAACGATTTTGAGCTGAAAATTAAAGGTTTTTTATTATTTTTATATATATTTTTCTTTAATATTTGGTTTTTATTTCTTACAATTTACTTTTTTATATATTTAATTTTCTTAAGTTTTTCTTTCTTATGTTAAAACTCATGCGCACAAATCATCAAAAAAAAAATTTAAGAAAAGTTTATAAAGTTTTTTTATATATATTTAGTAAACAACAATGGAACTAAAATAGAAAACAAGAAAAAAAATATAAAAAGTCAAGAGAATTTTGCGTTGTTTGTTATACTCGTTCACGTTGTGAAAAGTGAGTATATTTGGCTTTGGTGCACTGCCCGTCCGTCTGTCTATCAATCGATCGGCTTGAAATTTCGAATATAGACAAACTCCTGGGAAGATTCGTCTGATAGGGCATAGATTGTGTTGGCTACGCCTCCTGGAAGCATGGTCAATAAAAACTAGATCTCTTAGAAGTTTAAGTTGTAAGAGATATAGTTCAGTAGTAAATTGGCTTTTTATGACACTATGTAAGCTAAAGACTTGAATTTTGGAATATATACCCGTTGATATATGTATATATGTATATGTACCCCCTTGGGTAAATCGGCAACAAAAACTATATCTGCCATAGTTTTAGACCTAGATCAAGCAATATTCCTATTATAGAATTATAGAATATATAAAATCCCTATTAATTTTCCCTATTTATAGAACTATAAAAGAAATTCCTTAAATATTTTTGAACATATTAATTTTAGCTAATTTATCAGCGTGAACGAGTATTATGCAGTCGGTTGCGCCCGACTGCAACGTTCTGTTCCTGTTTTGTGTTGCGTTTGTTGTACATTTGCCCCCCTCAAATAACTATACCCAAAATCCACATGCACTTCACATACAAATACCGTTCTGAAATATATATATAAACCTATAGTTAACAACAATAGACACACACACACACACCAGCACACACACACACTCAACTTGCAAATAGGTCGTCACAAAAAGTGTTATACTACATATACTAAGCGCTAAAACTCTCTCTCCTTGAGCTGTTTATTCAAAAATAAAAAATACACTGTATATTTTACATAAATTACTTAAATATTGTGGTAAATTCTTTTTATTATTTTTACATAATTTTTTTTACAATTTTTTATTTAAACAAATTTGACTTCAGATTAGTTTTGAAATCATACACTTGAAAAAAAAGCCAGAAAAATTTTTTAACTTTGCAAAAGTATAAAAGAAATAAAATATCTAAAAAGAATCTAGAAGAAAATAAAATTTTTTTAGCATCATAATCCATAAATATATTTAAATATATATTTTTTATTAATAAAAAATATATATACATATTATAAAAGAAAAGCGCGAATTATCTTTTTCTTTCTTTTGAGTTTTTTATTTAAATTTTTACTTTTGATTTGCTTTGATTTACTTAATTTAAGTGCGTGCGTCTTATAAGCAATATGACTTAACTCAACTGTTATACCGTATAACAATCAGTATTGTGCTACTGTATGCGTGCGTGTGTGTGTTATGTGAGCCTATTTTGTTTTGCATTAATCGTTTTCTGTGCGCTCGTCTTAATCATGCTCTTCTTCTAATAATGATAACAAACTGTAAATTTTTTATAACAACGAAATATCTCATCTCTCACTGTGTCTCTATTTATATATATGTGTGTGTGTGTCTTTGTGTCTGTGTACGTGTTTTGCCATTCACATGTTCAACTCGCTTTTTATTAGGCATTCACATTGAATAAAATTTGTAAAACAATAATAATATAACGCTTTTACACTGTGCAACAAAAATTTGGTTTAATTAAAAAAAAACGAAAAATGAGAGAAAAACATTTGCATAAATATTTCTCTTTCCACTGTTGTTCATGAAATTATGTGCATCTATATATATATATATATATATATTTATTTATTTTCGAATTATATATTGGTTTACCTATCCACACATATGCGTTTGTATATATATATTATATATATGACGATATATATATAATATAAATATATATCAAAAGTTTATTTTAATTTTTCGATATTTCAGTTCATCTCTTAATTTATTTCTGATATGTATGTATATTTATATATATATATATATTTATATATATATATATATATATATATATATATATATATTTATTTTTTGTTTTACTTTGATTTTTTTGGCTTTTGTTTCATAAAAAAAACCAAAAAATAATGGAATCGATTATTTGGGTACATAGAGTATATATCGTTACGTTTTTCGACTCAACATATTATATAGGCCTATTTGAAAGTCAATTTCGAAATGTATGCTATATAGCTTTTAAGTTCATGTTCCAAAAATGTTTATTGTTTTTACAAACTTTGTCCAAAACGAAACTAAAAAAACCTGAAAACCACCTGAAAAATGTTGATATCAACTGCAACTTGCTCGTTCCTGTTACCTGCTGAAGGTCCTGGCCCACCTGACGAGAGCATGCCGTGTCGACATCATCAACGTTTGAAGCATTTGAGTCTGCGCCATCAGCGTAAACACCAGCACACGCACCACCAAAACAATCCGCTACACTACCATAACAACCACCACAATCACCACCATCAATATCTGCAACAGCTGCCCACGGATCTAAAGGGTAAATCCAACAACAACAAATCAACAACGACAACAACTACTACTACTACCACTACCAATATGCATGCAGCCAACGCCTCAGCCTACGCCCCAACCACAGCCTCTGCCTCCGCCTCAACATCAGCCAGAGCCAGCTGCTCGGCGTGCCAGGTGAGCGGCACCAGCGGCGGCAGCTTAAACAATTTATCCCTAACACATGATGAATCGGAGCGTGATTTTGATTTTGTGATACCGCCACCCGGTTGTGCCTGCGACGAATGCTATGCGCTGCTAAGCAATAGCAGCAGCGTCTTTGCCCCGCCCAGTGCCAGCGCCACAGCGAGCACATTGGTAGCCGATGATTGCTATACACAGACAGCTTCCTCAATGCTAAATGCAACGCGTTGTGCGATCAACACTGTAACAGCTATAGCGACGGGCAATAGCACAGCTAATCCAACAGCAGCAGCAGCAGCAACAGCAGTCGCGGCGACAGCAGCAGCAACTGTTGCTGATGCCAAGGCTAGTTCGGTGACAACAATTTGCTCTTCGGCTTATTTCTCAACATCGGCGCCAACTGGCAGCAGCTCGGTGCAAAGCATGTCGCGCTCTAATAGCAAAAAGCTAAATAACAACACTTGCAGCATAAACAATAACAAGCTGAGCTTTCGTAGCAGCAGCAGTCAATTTCAAATGCCAGCGCAGCAGCAGCAGCAGCAACAGCAGCAACAACAACAACAACACCAACAACAATCGCCATTGCAATCGCCAACAGAAAAGTCGATGTGCGATACGGATACGGAGGATGTGGAGGATTTGGATGATCCAAAGAGTCCGCATAGCGCCTCCTCACTATCCGAAACATTCGACTGGTGGTTCAATAAGCCGAAGCGTAACTCTAAGAAGTGCAGGTATCCTTTTTATCAACAATTATCTGTAGAACAGTTGCCAAACAAAGCACAAAAAAAAAAATGAAAATAAACCTGAAAAAACTTTGCCCAAACTCCACGCAGTCATAAAACCCCAAACAGAGCTACAGTCATGCAACACAAATACACTCAAGAAAAAATACACTGTAAAAAAAAAAGACAACAAAAGACCAACTTTGCACCTGCTTTTGCCTGCGCGCTCTCTTTCTCTCGCTCTTTTCCTTGCTGTCTCTATCTCTCTCCCTCATGCATAAATGTTTGATTTCATTAAGCAAAAAGTTTCGAAACAAATAAATTGCAATAATAATATATTTCTTTTTTTAAATCAATCACTCACTCACTCATCGAACCACCCACCCACTCACACACACACACACACACACACTCCCTCACCCACACACGCGCACACTCGCACTGTTATACACAGCACACAGACACCAATACCAATACAGACTCAACAAACCCAATGCAAATTCAAACCAATTACATTTTGGCATCAGACATCGCCCACACCGCGCTCTAGTTATCGCTCTTTCTTCAATTCTCTTGCCGATCAAATTTATAGCAAACGTTCTACAACGTCTCAATTAAATATAAACAATGGATTTAATTTAACTACAACACATAGATCGTCACCAGTGAGTAGTTGTTGTGGCAGTAGTAGCCAGGGTCGTTCCAGTCCAGACACGGATCATGCAGCTGAGCCGCCCGAATTTCCACTCAGTCCAGGTTAGCATACCTGGCCATAACCAATGGCCCTTGGACGTTGCCTCTGTCTTTTTCGTTTTCTTTTTTTGCATTTTCATTTGTTTTCCTTTTTTTCCACATTTATTTTCTTTTCTTTTGAGGAACCACTTGATGTTACCCCCCTTTGCCACCTATGTATACCACTTATATATATAAATATATATTATATATGAACTGATCAACACACGTCTAGCGCTCGCTTGAATTTTGATTGTGCAATTGGTTAACTGTTATACGGCATAAGTGTTATACAAGCGCGTATCAGTTATGACAAAAAGTCCAATGTCTTTACTCTCTCTATCTCTCTGTCTTTCTCTTTCGTCTTATTTTGTTTATACTTTACTATATATATATATATAAATACACGAAATATAATTAAATTTGTAACAGTGTAAAAGCGAATATGTTGTTTTTTCAGTGTACTGCTCACCAAAAAATGTTGTTCTGCTGCGCAATTCATAGCCACGATTAACGCCGATTTCCATTAAGCTATATATTAACACATATCAACACACACACAGACACACATACAGGGAGAATTTTGTGAAATTTATTTTATAAATTTACAGTTTGTTTTTAAGTTGCTTTTAAGTGTTTAAGCATTAGCTTATTTATTTTACTTACACTAGACATACAAATCAAGCTAAACAAAAACCAAAAACAAAACATTTTGTGCCGTTACGAAAGGTATTTTGTTATTCCTTCTAATTATAATAATACCCATTTATACTTTATAGTTATTTATTGGATATTTACCCTAGTTCGCAACTGCCCCATAGTCCCCCACTCTACTAATCGTAGTGAATTTAGTTCTTTACTTGTTTTGCTCATTTGCATTTATTTATTGCACGTAATTAATGGTAATTATGTCTTATTTAATCGTAGTCGGGAGTGTTATTTAAATGGAATTACTAAAATTAGCCAAAACAGCTTTATGCTTAACACAGCTCTTAGGCTATCTGAATTAACATCTCTAATACTGTATATTTATCTATACAATCGATGTGTAGACTATTAAATACCCTGTATACATTTTTATAGAGCCTATATGGACCTCTTAATACCTTATGTATTCCCTGAAATAATAATAATATTGTATTAGAAATAATTGACATTTCGGTAGATCCTTCGAACCTACTAAAACTCTATTCAACTGCAATATTTATTGTCTTGGTTGCCTTAGTAACTGTTATATGACTGTTATATAATATCAGCAATTTATCACACTTAGCGTTGCTTATACTAGCAAAGCTCCAAACCTTAGACCTGACAAGTGGGTTTGTCACTTGGCTTTCACGCTGCTCTTCAGCGTTATACCAGTTCGAAGCAGTTCGAACAGCCGGCTTAGCTTGCAATAGCTGTTAATGCGCTGTTATAAATTTACTTGATTTATTTACTTTGTTGCATGTTTCAACTAAGTGTTAAGTGCACTTTTTAATATATTCTTTATAGCTAATAGTTATAAAAGAAATTGTGAAATTAAAACTTGAAAAATTTGTTGCCTTTTGTATAAGTTTATGATGTACATATGTATGTGTGCTGTGTGTGTATGTGTATGTGTGTCTTTTGTATTTGTGTTTATAAACTTAATCTTTATCTTATCTAAATACTTAAGTGCAATATTTATTGTCTACTTAACTTCGTTTGTTCTTGTTTTCTGAAAACTAACTCAATTTGTTTTTGTACTAAATGAAAATATTTCAAGAACTCTATACAGTTTTTAGATATATTACAGCAATATACATATATATTTTTTAAAATTTATTTTTATTTTTTTTTTCGTACTAGTCTTTTGCCAGTAAAATAAAAAGAAAAAAATTGCTTTATCAACTCATAATACTAATGGATTTTATTTTGGAATATAGCTGAACTACCGCAGTATTTAACGCGTTTCCAATGGGACATGGCCAAATATCCGATCAAGCAATCGCTACGCAATATAGCCGATATCATATCGAAACAAATTGGTCAAATTGATGGCGATTTGAAGACCAAATCGCAGGCCTACAACAATCTGAAAGGCAATCTGCAAAATCTGGAAAAGAAGAAAACGTAAGTAGTTAATTATAATGAAAACGACCCGACTCACGCATACTCTAACCACAATTTACTATATTATATACAGTGGCAGTTTGTTGACACGCAATTTGGCGGATTTGGTCAAGAAGGAGCACTTCATACTGGATTCGGAGTATTTGACCACGCTGCTGGTCATTGTGCCAAAGTAAGTTGGAAGGAGTATACTCCCGACCTTGTATATAAGATTCTTATGTCATCTGTACTGTGTTTTGCTTTTAGAGCCATGGCTAATGATTGGCTGACCAATTATGAGAAGATTACGGACATGATTGTGCCACGCTCATCGCAGCTCATCAAGGAGGATCCCGACTATAGCCTCTTCAATGTCACGCTCTTCAAGAAGGTCACCGAGGAGTTCAAACTCCATGCTCGTGAACGTAAATTTATTGTGCGTGATTTCGTTTACAACGAGGAGGAGCTCGCAGCGGGCAAGAATGAGATGACCAAGCTGATGACCGATAAGAAGAAGCAGTTTGTACGTAAACGAACTAAAAACCATGTCAATTCCGATAGTTAACTTTTGTATATATTCTATATAGGGCCCTCTGGTGCGCTGGCTGAAGGTGAACTTCAGCGAAGCCTTCTGCGCTTTAATACACGTCAAAGCGTTGCGCGTTTTTGTGGAATCTGTGCTGAGGTAGACAAAAACTCTTCTAGAAGAATGTTGCCTGTTGTATATTGTTATCTAGTCTATATTTCATATATCATAGATGAATTATCATATATAATATATATTATTATAACCATCATTGCCTTCTTTATAGGTACGGCCTGCCTGTTAACTTCCAGGCCATATTGATTGAGCCCAATAAGAAGAGCGTTAAGCGCTTGCGTGATGTGCTCAATCAGCTGTATGGACACTTGGATGGTGCATCCGCTGGCGGACATGTCAGCAGTGTTGATGTAAGCTGAGCAGAGCAAAATCAATAACAGATAGTTAAAGTTTCTCTTTTCTAGCAGAATGTGGATATACCCGGCTTGGGCTTTGGCCAATCTGAATACTATCCGTATGTGTTCTACAAGGTGAACATCGATATGGTTGAGCAAACCAAGCTTTAAGAAGGCAACGCACGTGCCTCTACTTCGCACACACACACATACCCACGCACGCCCATACACAACCACACAACAATAAATATATTAATACAAAGGAAGATAAACAATTTATTGAATATGTAATTTGTATTCAGCAACAGCTATCACAAAAAAAAAACGCTGTCTGCTTCCAAAACAAATCAAGAACAATTCTAATCTGCTCATAATTAAAAAACAAAAACAAAAAGTGCATATAGTAAAAGAAAAAAGCAACAACAATAACAGCAGCAAACCACGCAAACAAGTAATAGTTAACTATTAATTAATTTAGTCATTGTTATATAATTATTGTTGTTATTTATGTTACGCGTTCGCTGAATTCCGTTTCCCAAGTTCAACTTTCAAAAACAAAAAAATCTAAAAAATCAAAAAAAAAAATCGCGCGTAAGAGAAGCAAAACAAAATTTCCAAAACTGATTTTTTTCAAATCGCGTTGCTCCCGCCCCTCACAAAGCTAAAACTGAATCAAAGTTTATTATTTTTATTTACAATTTTTGTTCTGCTTCAGTTTTAAACAGTATTTTTTTTGTTTGTTACACTTTCTTTTTTTTGGTTTATTTTTGGCCTTGTTTTGTTAAAAGAATGATATGTAAACTATAGCTGAATGATATATATTTTAGTAAACACACACAAAAATGAAAAACTTAACACACATTGTCACTAAATCAAGCCGAAAGTTTAATTTTGTTTATAGTAGCTACAATATTATGAATAATACAAATAAATATTTGATTTACATATGTTTCTTCTTCCTTCACTAAAATGTCTTTAAACAATTTGTCTTGTTTTTTTTTAATTTGTAACTAACAATTAATTGCAAGCCCGACTAAAAACCTACTATTATTTGAACAACTATATACACACACTTAAATATATAGTAAAAAAGGAGTCGCAAAAAAAAGATGCAATTTCCGCCGGAAAAACAAATAAAACCTAAACAAAAGTATTCTATTTATAAATGTTGCCTAGATATCGAGAGTTTATAAAAAAAACAAAACAAAAAGTTTCGCAGATCTTACACAGAACGAGTTCGAGTTAGCAAAGAAAAACTAAATATACATGCTTATCTAATTCGAACCTTTTCTTGAATTTCTAAAGGAAAACTTAATGCACTAAAATCTAAACTAAAAGAGGAAAGAACAATAATAATTGTATGTAAAGTAAAATTTAAATTTATATTTTCAATGTTTGCTACTGCTACATCTACAACAAAAAGAAATCTAAATGTTAAAACAAAATAAGAAAATGCAAAAAAAACCAATTTATATATATATATAAAATTATATATATTTAAATAATATGCATTACACAAAATATGTAAATGTTAATGCGTTATATAAGGTGCGATCCTTGTAAATAATTATAAAGAAAGAAAGACATTCCAACTTTGTTTGTTTTCAATTAGTTATAGACATAGATGCCAACCCCAGCCCTCAAGAAAAAACCAGTAAGATATACGAAAGTGCGTCGACATCGACTATACTATATATATATATATTCTAATGCTATATTCTTTTTGAACTTTACACAACTAGTTGTTAAACTATAACTATTTAGACTAAGGGCCTTACGCGTACTTATGTTTTGATCTAGAAATGCTTCAAGTCCGTTTCTATGCTGGGAACATTTGTATTCTGCATCAGTTTGATCTTCATGGCAGCCGTTGCGCCTACTGCTTGCTGCAATATATTTGGAGGCTTTGGCTGATTCTTATCCGCCTCGTACTGTGCTCGATGCAATCGCTGTCGATGCTTATACATATTGGCGCTGCAGAAGAATGTCATCGGACAATTGGGACAGGTGTACAAAACTTCGCCGGTGTGAGTAGATGTGTGCTCCTATTTGAGAGAAATTACAGTTAGTTGCTTTTCATATGGGAAGCAATACAGAGCTTGAACATACCTTGAGTTCCTGTGGACGTTTGAAGGCCTTATCGCACATGGTACACTTGAACTTGCGCTCGCATTCATGACTGCCAAGAGACGAGGGATTAGCTTACAATATATTCGAATAACAGTATAATACAGGTATTACTTGTGATAGATGTGACGACGCAGCGCACGTGCATTTGGTGATATCTTGTTGCATACATGACAGCGATGCTCGCCCGCGCTCTCCACATGTATGCTCTTCATATGCTGCTTAAGACCTGTCATGCCTTTCAACCAGGCGCCACAGATTTGACACTGCTTCAATTCGGGTTCTGGACGTGGGGTGTTTGAGTGCATCAGCTCTTGATGCTTCTTCAAGATGATTTTCGTGCGCATTTGTTTGCCGCACTTGTCACAAATGATAATGCTCTCCGGATCATGCATAGAATTCATATGATTCTTTAGCTTGCGTTCAGTCAGGAATCTGTAAAGGATAAAAGATTAGTTAAAATATTGTTGATGGTTGGAGTTCTCATACTTTTTGTTGCACTCGCTGCAGCTGAATTTGAATTCAGATTTGGGAACATGCTTGTTCAGCTTATGATAGTCGATGGCAGTTTTGCTAAGGAACGCTTTGCTGCATAGATCACATTGGAAGGTCAATTTGGACACGTGAACCTGTTGATGTGATTCCAAATGTCTTGAATTTTGGAATGACTTTTCGCAGGTGGTGCATTTAAAGTGCTCAGGATTCCAATGTACCAGCACATGTTCGGCCAGCACCTTACGTTGCGTAAACTTGCGTCCACAGCAAATCATATATCCTGGATCCACTTGATGTGTGAGTCGATGATGGCGTTGCATCTCCGTAAAGTTATGCACTAGCAGATTGCATATGGAGCAAGGCAACACATCGCTAAAGAACTTGGCTATGATCGCATCGAATTCCTCCTGCTGTTTCTTCCTCTGGTCGAGCAGTTCACGGGACATGCGAACTCGCGGTTCCGCTGGCTTGGCACGCTTTTTATATTTCTTGGGTCGAACTGGAGTACGTTTCGGTATGACAGCAAATTCAACGTCATCCGGCTTGCCAACCGTAAAATCAGAATCATCATCGCTTTGGGCACTCTCCTCGCTGCTGTCGTCGCTATGGGCAAGTCCTTCAACGAATTCGGCAGAGAAGTCCTGATCATCGTCACTAAAATCGTCGGGATGTTCTGCTTCTGCCTTGAGACACGATTCCAAATCTAAATTTTGCTCAGTTTGCGTTTCAGCTGGGCTTGGTTTAAGCATGACTTCGCTTTTGCGTGGTCGTCCACGACGTTTCTTCGGGGCTTCAACTGTATCTAGAGATTCACTTGCATTAATCTCTAACGATTCTGGTTGGGCATTTCCGGGTTCTGACTCCGCTTTGACACGTTTTCGCAGACGTCGAGCGGGCGAGGATGTCTGCAGGCTGCTCGTACCTTCAATAACTTCAATTTTGGGCAACTGTTCCAGCTCATGTTCCTCTATCTTGACCTCAGGGTAGAAGAAATTGCGACCATTTAGATCGGCTGCATCGGCATTAGCCTGCTTAAAGTTTCCTTGAGTCAGCGGATCATCCTCCATGAGCAGCACCTTGGTTTCTCGCAGCGAGCTTTGTGCGGAGCTGACGAAATCGTGCAACGTGTTGAAAGCGGATACTGTTGTCCAGCATAGCGGGCATATTTTCCGAGTTTCCCCACTACTTTGTATTAACTCTATTGGAAAATGTTTGTTGATAATTTGCACCACATTCAGTTGGGCCGCCTTTGCCGAAAATACATCCATATAATCATTCAGGGTCAACGGATTCTCTTCTAGGCATAGCAAGCATGGTTCGGCTGCTGTTACTTCTATATAAAACAAAGTTTAAATTTGTTTTAATACTATTTAACTGTGTTTTACTGCGGTTTAAAGTACTTACCCATGTTTTTCTCACAAAATGTTTATATACATATGTAGAAACTCATTTATTAAAGTAATCAAATACAAAATTATTTTTGATTTATTTGCATCATGCTTGATAGTGGGTGTTCGATTTTTAACGCTCTTTCTGCTGTACAAAATGTATTTTATAGTTGTTTCTTTTAAATTGTTCGTAATTTTATGTTTTCTTGTTGAGACAATTTGTGGTGGGTGAACGATAGGCGGCCAACAAACATCCGATTCACGAACGATAAGTGCAGTGTTGCAAAATGATACAAAGCTAAAATAGCTCACAATAGTTTATTTAATAGCATCTGCAATGGCAGCGAACAACTTAAACCAGATAAAATATCAACAAATTGCATTTTGTGCCTAAAAATATATTATATTAAACAGCTCGTTGGCCAATTTCGGGCGAGCAAGTGGTTTAGTATAGGATAAGCGACGTACGCATTCTATATTTGTGCAGATGGAATTGCAAACGAATTGCCAAACATAAACAATGTGACTTAAACTTTCCTGGATGCTGGAAACTTTTGTAATTAATTGTAATTAAGCTTTATTATTAAGTTGAGAGTTACTACGTTGTAAGCATCTGATATTTAAGATAGTTGCACAACTAACTTATTGAAATCTTAATGCTAAATTATGTCAAGCGAAGAGGATATGACGGTAGGTACCTCCCGTACATATTTTTTCTGTGGACTTGGTACGATTAAATGATTGATGTACCTATTATATTTACAGATCAGTAAGAAGCGTTATAGCATTTTGCAGGATCGCAAAACATATTGGTATACTGTAAATGAAATCAAGAATGAAGCTACTTGTCCCAGCTGTGGTCGATCTATAGATAAGTTTAAAAATTTAACAGCTCACGTAAAGCGCTGTTTTAGCATTAAGAAAATTGGACCTATATACAGACTACATGGCTACGTCGAATGTAAATGTGGACTCTTAATAGCTGATAATACCAAGGCACAGAAATTGCATGTATGCATGGTAAGTGGAATATATAACTATATCAAGCAATATACATTCATTTGCTTTGCTAGGGTGAGGTCCCTGCCTTTGAGCCAGATTTATCCTATGTCCGCAAGCAACCGGAATCTGATAAGGATCAGGATCACGATCGGGATCATGATCAGGAACAAGCGCCAGACAATCGCAGCCATCACTTGGAGCGTGAACTGCTCCAGCCAAAGCCTTGGATACGCAACTTTGTTTCGCCTTTCAAATTAGATATAGAGAACATCCATGTTAATCGCAAGCCCGAGCCGCGTGTACGCAATTTCGATATGCCCGTTAGCAAGCATGAGCCGAAGAATGTCAGCGTCTATTCCATTGGCACAAATAACGGCATAATCTATGTAACTGGTCGGACGTCACAATCAGGCAATCAAAATATGATTTTGATTAAAAAGAGAGCACTACGATTGCCCCAGTTAAAGGGCTATAAATGCAGTTAGTTAATGAATTGCAACTGAAAAGTGGGTTTAACTATTTATTCTACATGAAAAGCATTTGGAAAACATATTTTTTAATTTGTAATAAATAAAAAAATCATTTATTATATACTTGTAAAATTTGGGGTTTACAACTTATATTGCTTAGGCTTGTTTTGTTTTTTCGTTTTCGTTTTCGTTTATGAATTACAAATATTTAGCAAAAAATTACATCAAAATGCGACAATAACTACGAATGTATTTATAAAAATTTTAATGTATTAATTTCGTATAGTACAATATGTATTTATTTAGTATATAAAATGAATAGTATTTGAAAAGATCAAACGATCTGGCTAAGAATTCAGCTGTATACTATAGTTACTTCTTTATAGATTTCTAAGAATTTTGTTTGCTGTATATTTAGTTACTATTTTAATTTGTTATGTAAAATTCTAATGCTTGGTCTCTGGGCTGGGCGGTACAATAATTTTATTCTTTTTGATGTATATATCCATATTGCTCGACTGCCTAATGATTTTACTACTATACATATAGAAAAACTACTTAGCAGCAAATGTAGGCAAAATTGTTTTCTTGATTTTGATTTTGATTTTGTTGATAGAGTTTTTGATTTGGCATATTTATGTGTATATAGAAAAGTATAGTATAGTATCGTATAGTATAGTATGTATATGAAGAGAAGCTTCTGTGCTGTTAGTGCTACACAGAGAGAGAGAGAGAGAGAGTGAGAGAGAGTTGTGAGATGTGACGAATGTTTTTTTTTTGTTTTCTTTCAAATTAGAAAACAAACAGCTTCAGCTCTATAAAAACACTGGCTGTGGCAGGCGGCCGTAGTCGGGGGAGTGGCTCTTGGCCACAATCTAAATGCGTTCTGTTACATAGACTTTGGCAGAGGCAGGCGCATTGGTTCTTCGCACGGCAAAGGTAACAATGATACCAATAATAACGAGAGTAACTCCCAACGCAGTTGTTATATAATGTTCAATCAGGCGATTATCGTCACTGTAAAGAAAATGGCTTTGAATATGAGAGATTTGAGAGTTGAGCTTCAGACTTACCTCAATGTGGGATCCTTGGCAGTTTCGCGCTCCTTCTCAATGATGCCCGTCACGGCGGTGGCTATGGCCAGCCAGAAATTGGCCAAGCCCAGGCTGGCGTGTATCGGCACCATGGCTGAGCGACAGCTATAGGTTTTATTGTCACAGCAGAGCAGCACCAGAAATCTAAGTTAAGAAAGGTTAAGGGATATATATGTATGTAGGTATGTGTAACAGCTGCGTGGGAGGGAGACTTACGTAAAGAAGCCAATTACGAATTGCATCAGAAACATGCCCATTGTCACGAAGCCCAGCCATGAATGCAGGCTATAAAAGTTCAACTTGGCTAATGCATTGTGCGAATCGAACACGGAGACGAAGCCCATAATAATACAGGGTATTGCAGCAGCATGAAAGAACATGTGAATCAATTTCACATAGATGTGCTTGACGCAGCGGCACAGTCGATAAACTAAAGTAGCTGGGAGACACGAATGACACATATAAATTGATATAGCTGTGATCTAGATCTATGTGGAACTTACAGAATCCAGAGAGCGTTACAAAGCCCGCTATCATCAAAATGGGATGCAAATTGAATTGCTTCAATGGCTTGTCTGACCAGGCAAAGCCTCCGCGATAGAACATTACCCAAAAGAGTGCCAATATCAAGACACCCACTAGCAATATGGTAGAGAGTATAACAATTAATAAATATTCACACCAGGAACAACAGTTCCACGCATTGTCTGGATCCTCCTCATAACGTCTGCAATGAAGTAAAGAAGAAATGCATTTTGTATATAAATTGAATTATTTTTCAGATAATATGGTGCGGATATGGTACGATTGATCACTTCTATAAAGCTGCCTTCAATTAAATCCACTGCTTATCCAAACCTGAGTTATCAAGAGTGCTTTATATATATATATATATATAGAAGGCTTTTATAATTCTAGACTTCAGTTATTTCAGTCTACTAATTCAATTATGTGAATCATCTTTGCTCTGACTCTCTCCCCTCTCTCTCTCTCTCTCATCTTACATAATTATCAATAATTTTTCTCTTAATTGCTTAATAAAGCAAACGTTTCTACAGAGTCACAACGCAAAGCTAAATCTGAGCAAATAAAAACTCTAGCAATTATCTAACTTATACGCTAATTGGTTCATATTCAAATCTCAATTGAGTTGGATCGCCTTTTGTATATATTTTTCTCTTACTCGTCTGGTTCAAAGATTTCCCTAAGTTTCTGTAAGTACGCCGCAAACCTTCCCATGGGGATTAACTAATCTGTTTTTTTTTTTTACTTTTTTTCTGTTTTAATAGTTTTAGTGTGTGTTTAAAAGTATTTTTTCTGTTTTTTATTGTGTTTTACATATTTTATGAACACATTTGGAAAGCTTGCTGAATATTAGAAACTTGAGTATAGTCAACAATTTAGAACATTTGAAAAGTCTCACAAAGAGTAAAATTTGATTAATAAAACGTTATTTCAGTTTTTGCCACGCCCTAAAATGTGTCTATGTGCAAAGCAGGACAGCAGTGAGCATTGTTGATGATCCTCAATCTAAGATGCCTTGGTATGTATATGGATTCTTTCTGATATGTAGCGTCTCAAGGAACATATAGGTATATCATTATGGAATTTGGAATTTGTAACTGTAGAGCTCTAGAACATATAGACGTTTTTCCACATTTGACACATTCCTTGTGAATATAAGCCAAATGGCAATTCACATAACATATTTTGACGTTCTAGTAGTAAATTTGTCTATATTCTCGCTTTGCCACGCCTCAAATAGACACAGCAATATTCACTTGACATTTTTATGCGAAGCTAGTTAAAATTCCATGTGTTTAGCTTCAATAGCGCTATAAATAACTGTAATAATGTGCTAAGAGATAACAGCAATTCGCGATTTTAAAATTTCAAGACTTCAAATGGATAGACGACTACAGGCTGGATAAGTATATATCGATATGGAGATATAAATATGGATGGATATATAGTTTAAATTGATAGATAGTGCAGATAAATGGAATAAATATATGCATAGATAGCAAGGTTGACAGATGGAGTGAGAAAAGGAGGAGGAAAAAAGAAAGACATTTAGAATTGATAGAGATAGATGGATATCTAGATAAATGTAATTTCAATTAGTGTGAAGAAGCTTAAAATGTTCTTAAATTGTGTCCAAATGCTGCCTGACAGATGAGAGAAGATCGTAGACGCACCTAGATAAGTTTCTAAATCTATATAGTTTTTTAAATAGATGCAGTGATACAAAGATAGTTAAATGACTGACAATAATCCAACAATAATCCAAAACTAAGAAGACTGTAAGAAAACCATGTCATATTCAAGATATTTGATATGTGCCATGCTCAGATAACATCGCTCTATATAGAATTTGCTCAATTGTCACATAAAATTATTGGAGCATATGCAATTCGATGCCAATTAAAATGTTATTCGCATAATAAATAATAATTTTTCGTCATCGTTCGCGTGTGATCAGATGACAAAACATTTCGAAGGCTGAAGCGAAGATGAGCTCAGCTTCCATAAACAGATGCAACATGGAGCTGTGGGCTTGTGCTGTGAAATTTCTCACAGTGTTGCTGCCGAATCACAATTCATATTGAATGCAACGAGCAGCTGTTGCAAGTAAACAGACGCCCAGTAGAGTGCGGCTGGGCCTTTGGGGTCTGTGGGTAATTAGGCGCATTGCTGTTGGCCAACGAGCAGCTTAATCATTTCCAAGTGCAATTGCTGCTGCACTTGAAGTGACAGCAACAATACAATCCACAAAACGAAAGCAACAAAACAAACAAAATTATTATTATTTAAATTAATAGTGCGCAAAGCCAAAGAAATCACTCGATGTCTGATAATGAAAGCAAAAGCCAAGCCATTTATGAAAAAATGATTGTGTGAGTAGATTAAGTGGAGTGTGTGACACTAGCTGATGCCCTGTAAAGCATGCAATCGCATGGCAAGAAATACGCTCACATCTGTCGTTGTAGCTTCACAATAGTTAGATTTTAGTTAGATTTATCTTATGTCATTTCCATTTTATAATTAATGTAATAATGTAATCTCAAAGAAAAATATTTCTAAATTTCATATACTTTCTGATGAGCTTACATTTCCATTTATATTAGAGCTCTTATACTGTAAAACACAGTCAACATTTCTATTAGATATATTCACATTACAACTCTTATAAAATATAAGACGGTTTAACATGCTTTCTGATGACCTCACATATATAAGACTGCTTACATTTCTGTTAGATATAATACTCTAATACTATAACACTGTCTTATACTATATAAGACAGTTTACATTACAGAGCTCTATCAAATCAAAGTGAGTCTGCATCTACTTTAACCAGCTCGCTGCCCAACCTAACTAGCCTTTAACACTATTAATGACTGTAGGGTATTTAAAGACAGCTTGTTAAATAGCCTATTTAGACACGCACTTTCTCAGCTGCCACTGTGCGCCAGTTAGGAGTGGACAGGGGCTGGCATTATTAATTGGGTTTTGGGTTTTTTAATATCACTTGCAACATTTTGTGATACGACGCATAATAAGCACTTTAATTAACATGTTGCCGCAGCATCCGTGTGACCGATCGACCGACTATGTTGTTGATGTTGTCGTTGTTGTTGTTGCCCTGACAATTTCATTAGGCGCGGTGCAGCCAATGCATCAAGTCTCAGCGGGCGATGTCAATGAACGGGCGAATGCTCAACGCAACAAACAATTTATATGTGTATGTGCTTATGTGTGTGTGTGTGTGTGTGTGTATGTGTAAGTGTATAGGCATTTAGCTTTCAACACATGAGCTGCTTGCGGGCAGCCCAGCTAGCTGTTTGCTTTAACACACATTTCACTTGCCGCCCAAGTGCTGTAGCAGCAGCAGCAGCAGCGGCAATAACAACAACGACCACAAATTGTTTAGCAGCCACAGTGGGCGGGGGTAGAGGCAGCTCTGCCAGCCTGCCAGCCTGCCAGCCTGCTTGCAGCTGCAACTGTTGTATCTGCATCTGCATCTGCATCTGTGTATATCTCTTTCACTTTTTTCTTGTCCGCTCTGGGAAAATTTCGCTAAAAGCTTTTGCGTTTGCTTTTGCTTTTGCTTTTCTGCCACGACTCGTTTTACATAGTCATGTGGCAAGTTGCAAGTTGCAAGTTGCAAGTTGCGAGTCTAAACCTGATCATGAACCTGCAACCGTGGCTTTGAACGTGCCTCTAGCTGAATTTAATGCCAATTGTTGCTAATGGGTCAGCAACTATTTGAGGTGGTTGACACTGCGCCCACAACAACAACAGCAACAGCAGCAACAGCAACAGCAGTAGCAGACATGACTAGAGACTGTCTGGTGCCTGGTTTGTTTAATGAAGGAAAGCTAAAATCTTAAGTTGACAGTTCTTTAACCGCTGCAACAGCAGCTCGTCTTTGGCCAGAGCGAAAGCAGGCAAGGCTTTAATTAGTTATAGATTGTCTGAGTCATTATTTTGATAGCCATATATATTCAATTGAACACATCAGCCTGACTGGCATGTCGTCTGCATATACGTAAACATATGTTATATGCTGTCTTATATAGATATGCATGACTTAAGATATCAGTAGATCGCAGTTTAAGCTCGTCATATAGTATATAGAGTTACATCTGTTAGAGGTCTGCATAGCTTCACTCACAGCATACGTTTAATTGAATGAACGATAGATATATATTTTATGTATATATCTTTCTCATATATTTTCTCTCCCGCATAAGCGGTTTTATTAAGTTTGGTTGTGGTATTATAGATACATATATATGCCATATGCAAGTGTAAGAGCAAGTATAAGTTATTATAAGTTAAATAAGTCTAACAGGTTATCAAAAGCAGCTTATCTTAGATAAAACCTAAAAATTTTGCTTTAGTGATGAGTCAAAAGTGAAGTATAAGTACAAGTATAAGTATAACTCTGCATACGTATAAATAGTAGTATAACAGTTAAAAGGTTAACCAAGTAGATTATACAGATACATAGATTAGAGCATGTTGTCTATGCTGCTGCTTATCTTTGGACAGACAGATAAGAACGAGTGAGTGCAAAACAGATATAAAATGTATCTTGAGATACAAATGTATCTGTGCGTAGCTGCGCCATAATTAGCGCCCAAGCTGACTGGTCTTTAGGCATGTAACTCGCCCAGTTAAAAGCGGGCTAATTATGGTATGGATTGGATGGCACAGAGAAGAACAAAACCAAACTGGAACGCGACTCAAATCAACTACTTGTGGCACAGATACAAATGTATCTGCAAGTGTTGCGGTATGTATCTGTAAGCCAGCAGCAGGAAGCACACATTGAGGATGTGACAAATTACAAAAGTACAATTAAAATTTAAGTACGTTTGTAACGAAATTAAAACATTTGCACACAACCATGACGAAACCTCAAAAGAGTGCCAGAAGAAAACGATAAAACAGACGTTCGCAATGTGTCCTGCGGGTTAATTATGTTCAAGCTTAGACTGCAAGCAAATGTGCGTGTGTGTGTGCGCGTGTGTTGGTGTTGCTTTACAATGGGCGACAATTGTTTACGAACTGAGCGACGTCTCGGGGAGTTTCAATTGAAACATTTTCGTGCTTCGTTTTGTTTAACGGCAGCTTGTGTTACGCCTGCATGTGTGTGTGCATCTGTAGCTGAGTGTCTGTGTATATGTACGGTAATTGTATCTTAAAGATACAATCAAATTCGCAGTAGCAGAACACGACACGCAACACAAGCGCGACACTAGCGCAGTTGCCCTGCAATTTATTCATTGAATTATTGTATTTATTTTATATTCATGTACACATAAATATACATATACCTATATATTTATAAACATTTCTTCATATAGTTTTTCTTATTTTCGCCTTAGCTCGAATTGGAATTAAGGCAGCTTGACTTTTGCTTGCCTTAGAGTACTCCCTCTCTCCCTCTCTCTCTCTCTTTCTTGATTTAGATTGAGCTCTGCAGGCATATATAGGGAATTGTATCTACATCTCGAGCAACACATCATTTATCAATTTAAATGGATCTACATATGTGTATGTATAAGCGGGTGCTAAAGACAGAGGGTGACTTGAAAAGTTATAAATTTGAAATACTGTCATATAGCAGTTGGTAGATCATGATGTCAAACAAGTGTTAAGCTAAGATTTAAATCTGCGATACATCATGATGTAAACTAAGATCTATGAGTATTACCATCAGGATGTGAGGTAAAAGCTTTGACTATTGTTAATGATATATCATGATGTAAGCTAAGACCAATGAGTATTATGATGATCATGATCCATCATGATGTATGCTAATATCGTTACCTACGAATAATCATGTAAACTAATATACATCAAGATACATCATGATTTAAGCTAAGAGCTCAGGTGTTTTCCATTTGATACATCGTGATGTAAGCTTCGATTTAGTTGATCTTTTGATGTGTTTCTTCATGTTGTAAGCTAAGATCTAAAAGTGCTTTGGATATGTGTGATATAAGTTCTAAACATAGCCAAGTATTTGTTTGTCTGTTTTTGGCACGTGAAAAGTTGTCACAATTAGCACAACAATTTTGATATGTTAATAAACCAAATCCAGATATTATACTATACTAATTTGTTAAATAACCTCGTGCTGTGTTTTAGTGAACAGCCCTCGTCGCATCGAAACTTACGCTGTTGTCGTTCCTCCACGCGGCATTTTGCCCAAATGACGTTCACGCATTTAAGCGAATTTATGTAGATATATGTGCCTTGTGCTTTAGCTTTTGTTTCTTTCGCGCCCAATCAGACACTCTGCGAACACACGGCGTATACGTAATGTTTAGATCAGAAATCGAGAGGTGATGTTTTGGGATTTTACAAGCTTTTATTGTTTTTTTTTTTTTATATATATTTTTTTTTAATTTCCCACAAAGTATTTAAGTTTTCTTCTGTAAAAATATATATTAAACCAAATTAAGTTTTATTGAATTTGCAACTGAGAAACTTTTGGACTACGTAATATATACGTATATATATATATATATATATATATATATATATATATATATATATTTATATATATAATTCTATCTGACATTTGGTGTATTGACTTGCTAATCAGCACGTTAATTTGTCAGACATTCTAGCTGTAAAAAAATAAAGCTCAACACAGCTGAATTTAATTCCTCATTCATTTCATTTCCAATTTTAGTTGTAAAAACAAGAGACTTAGAGATTTATTCGGTATTTTTTAATTTAATTCAATTTATGTCTGATGCATATGCAAATGACAGTTTCTTTGCTTTTTCAAACTTTCAATTTATGTATAGCACATCGTGTAACGAGCATCCATTGATAGATTTAGATGTATCTATCAAACAAAAGACAGACATAGTCTAAGCACTTTCTATAGAAGCGTGCAAGGTTATTGTTTATATTGTTTTTTGTTTTTTGTTGTTATTTTTGTATTTATTGTTGTCCACAAAATTCACACGATATTCATTGAATGTACCGGCTGCTGCAACCTACGTTCGATACGGATCAACGGCGAATGAACTACTGAAAATTCAACTCAGAAATGCTGGTGATACGTTGTGGACTCTGCCGCACCGAGAAAAAGAGAAAGAGAAAGAGAAATGGATCGCCTATGCAAAGAGCGCTTTTCTTAATATACCTATTAGCTATTTTAATGAGAATTTCTATATTTTTAAGGCTTTATAAATGAGTAAGCTACTGTTATACATAATTATACATTTTTATAAATATTTTGTACATTTTCATTAATGTGTTAGGCCTAGGTTTCAAATCAACGAAAAGTTAACATTCTGTATTACTGTTAAACTCAAAATGGCACTGCCAAACGCGAAAAGTTATGTTGAATATTCGAAAGTTCGACATGAATGCATGATCAAGCGAAGTCGCAAACCAGTTAGAAGCTTTCGCGCGCAATTTCAAAACTAAATTATATATTAATATTATATAATAATTTCATTTAATAATAACTAATAAATATCTAGCTGATAGTTAAAGAAAACTTTAATATGGTTTAAAATTATGTAACCTAATATACATTATCATAAGTGTACCAAACTCTGTCATTGGATTTAATCTTATTATCTCATGAATGAGTTTAGATATATAACTCTTACAAGTGCATGTGACCTTGTCCTAAAGCATGTGAGCATATTTTTCTACATTTTTGGGCAAATATTGTAAAAGACAAATTCGTTTTTAGTTTCGGCAAATATCATAAATAAAATTTTAGCTTATCTGCGAGATAATAAAAAGATAGATATAAAATATGATGTACGTACCGCTTGGATAATAAAACAGACACGCTGATTACTCTGTTAATCTAATTTTCTATTAATAGAATAATGCAGTGCTTTTTTCATAAATAAATAAAGTTAGTTTTGAAGAGCAATCAGAACAGCTGTTAAGCAATCATAAGTATACCACATATGCCCCATATATATATAATAAATGAACTTGGTTAATGCTAAATGAAATTGAAGCAGTTCTTATGGCTTGTCAATTACAAAGCATACAGTCAAACCTAGCTATGAACAAACACACCCAGCTAATGCGTGCTCATTACACATGGAGACGAGCAGCACGAATCCAGTTCAACGCGCGCCCACAAAATCGAAATCGAAATGAAATGAGCAAAAAGGCCAACAAAATATGTGCACTGTAATTACAAAAGGGTATGGGGAGAGGGCAAGACAGTCAAACAGGATAAAGGATGAAGGATGAAGCGTGTTTTGGCTGGCGTCAACTGAGCACACGCACGCGATCAACTGTTGAATGTGTGCGTGTGTGTGTGTGGGTGTGGGTGCGGGTGTGCAGGTGTGTATGTGTACATATATATGTCTCCTTGGTTAGCCTGATTTGCGAGCTACGCGTATTAAAATAGAATTTACGAGCTACTCTGTGTACATGGCTTAGGAAATTGGCGCATTAAAAGAGAAAAGGCGTAAGGCATATGCCCCGCCCACCTGCCAGTATGCCAGCCTGCTTAAGGCGTGTCATCAACGTTCGTTTCCTCTATTTCAAATGTAAATGTTACACTTGGGCCATTACGGCACGATTAATGAGCGCCATTTTAACGAGTTTTTTTTGTTTTTATTTATTTTTATTTTGACGACAGCTCAGGACGAGGTCAAGGCAGGGCTTTCACTTAAATACCCCAAATTGTCGGGTTAGACATTGGCAAATGCTACAGTCGCAGCTCAACGCTTGTGGTTTTCAATTCAACTTGACACCATTCTTATTCAAATGTTTATAAATACAAAAAATTGAGCTGGAAATTGAGTTGAGCAGCAAAACAAAGCGTGTTGCCTCTGTAATTTCATAACTTATATAACAAATTGATCTGCTAGACATGTGTGTGCCAAGAGAATACCATATGTTGGGTTAAATCAGCAAATAAAATTCGCATTGATTGCTATAGGGTATAGCTACAAAGTCTAATGAAATTATTGCTTTATACGTTTTCTAGTTCGAATTTTGCTTTATGCGTTTGGGTTTGTGTATTTGCTATATCTTATGCATGATTGTTTTGCGACTTGGCTTGGAACTTTGCTAAACATAAGCAATTGTTAGGAACATGTTTTAAAAGTATAATGAATTATATTTATAATATAATATATATTTATTTATAAGCGGTCTGACGATAAATATTTTCATGATAAAAAAAAAACAATTTTCGATATGCCAATAAGCCAATAATCGTTCATCAAGGTAAAAGCAAGAGTATTAAACACTTAAAGACAAGGATTAAAATAATATTCATGTCTTAAAATACATTTTTATTACCCATAAATGCTTTAGATATTAAAATTTGAACTCACTTTTCATCTGGCGGCGGTGGCATTTCAGTGCCGTTGGGCGTGCCGGGCGGCGTCTTCTCGTTTTCCATCAGCGTCAGCGGCGGCAGGGGACTCACCGAATTGCTATCCATGTGAAAGCAATCAATTCCTGATGGTTAAGCGAGCAGCGATGATAGCCTGTCGAAAGGATGGAAATATTCAAAGTGACTGGGCTATCAAAATCAAAGCAACAATTGCAGTCAGTTAGACAGGCAGCCACACAGACAGACAGGCAACCAAAATGCATTCAGCATACGAATCTTTTGAGTTCTATGTGCTATACTCGTTTGGGTAGTAAAAGTGGGGTATATTAGTTTCGGAGTGTGTTTGTATAGAGTTTATAATTTGAGAATTTTCAAGCTTAAATATGCATATATATATCCTTTCCATTAACTACTATGTCTTCAATCAAAGTTAGACACATATATAGCTTTTACAAATTATCTTAAAGCTTTTATTGCAAATCTTTTTCCTGTTCTCTGATTTACGAGCGAGTATTATGCAGTCGTGCAACAGCAACTTTTTCTTTCATTTTTCATTTTTCATTTGTGGCTCATAAAAATGTTTTCCATAATATTTAGTAGCAGCTAAAATCGGAGTCAGAAGTTGGGGAAAAAGCTGCTGGTGCTGCTGACAGATGCAAACGCGTCTGCTGTCTGCAGTCTGCAGTTTGCAGGGTCTGTCACTCGGCTAGTGTGGGGGCGCAAAAATCTCAGCTGCGCCTGCGGTTGGGCAGGCAACTGGCCTGCATGTAACCAGCCCCAGCCTCTGCGCCCCCAACGCCAGCTCGCTGTGTGGTGATGAATAGCGGCGCCTTTATATGCCACTTTTCATTACGAGGCAGCCAACTACATAAATAAGTGAGTGTGTTCGTGTGTGTGTGTGTGGGTGTAGGGGTGTATATATATATGTGTGTGTGTATATATGAATGAAGCTGTGGCGTATCTTTGAATGAATTGTGCTGCGAGTGCCGCCGATAAATGATCCAATTTCTCTGCATTTCTCTCTCTATCTCTCTCTCTGCTCCCTCTCTCTCCTCTATATTTGTACTTAAAATGGAAATTGAGTTTTATTTTGGGAGATTATGTTGGGACATGCACAAAACGTTCGTCATGTGTGGAGAAGCCCAAAAGGTAAAAATGCAGCATCAACATATTTGCTTGAGTGCATTGCACTTGAGCTGCATACAACGTGCGCAAAACAACAAAGGGTACATTGACTACTCAATGAAGCCTGTAACACTAATAGAAGAAATTGTAAGCAGAGCAGCGCTTTTGCTGATGTAATTGTGCTGAACTAGTTGAAAAAGTAATTACTTTTAGTCTTAGATGAAAGTCTTAGACTTTTAGTATTTCTATTGTTTTTTTTCGAAATTATATTTTATTATTTTCTACATTTCTTTTATGAAGTGTCTTTAAATATTTAAAAATATAATTAAACTTAAATACCATTTACGAGTTTCTTGAAATAAACAATCGAAAACGTAACTGCACAGTAAATGTCTTTCTAAAAGAGCATTTAGCAGTCGACCTTACGGGTTGATAACTCTTTTTCTTTTGTTTGTTATTGTGCGCTGTGGCAGTCGTAGTCGTAGACGTAGTCGACGTGTAAAATTGACTATCATACGTCCGAGTGCGTTCTGAGAGCGCCAATTTCCAACATGGATGTCGCCAGCTATCGCAGTTTGATTGAGTTTTCCTCCAACTCCTACTCTTTCTGCTACTATTTCTACTACTATTGTGGCAGAGGCAATAATTATGCCTAAGTACGTGTACGTATGTTCCATTTATTGTCAGTTCATTGAACTCGGGGCCCGCAAAAGACATTTGATGGACACTTCAATGCATTGAATATGCTGGCTCCCTCTCCCCTCTCTCACCCACTCTCTTTCTTTGGTCCTCAACTTCCTTTTCACTCGTCAGCTTTTCCTGGCAAGCGCCCTGTCCTATCGCTTTGCATAATCGACATGTGTCCATTTCTCACGCCTGACTTGGCCAATAGCCAATGGGCAGTTATATTTAACTATATAACTGTATTGGAGTGTCCCTTTTCTGTTGTTTACATAATACCCAATACATGTTTCCTTTCACGTATGCGTTTCGTGACACTTTTCTAACCTACAAATTGTTGATCGTCCCACCTAACTAACTTTTTGTAGTGCTTAATCAGTAGCTCAGCATTTTGTTGTGGTTTGCTTGCAATACAGAAAATTTGTGGGAGTTATTGATAGACTATCTATATATAGTATTCACTCAAAGAAAAGAGGATTAAATGCAAATTTAATTATGAAATTTAGATTCTTGATATGGAAATAGAAATTAATGCGAACGCGGACGACATTTAAATGTAAGGTTTAAGATTGGATTTGATGAGCTTGATCAAATAGATCTCTATATAATACACTAAAAAATTAAAGGTTGATTTCTAGTTCTTTTAATTCTTAAGATTAAAATTCTTCTTAAATTAATATTCTAGATACAAAGTCGTAATAGTCTCAAATGTCAGCTTAATAATTTTAACCCTGCTTGGGTTGCCTTACTTATACTCGACTATAAGTTATGTATAAATATATTTCTTTAAGTGCATGGTAAGGCGCAACCTTTATTGACGTTTCCTTTAGTTGTTGGATTATATTAAAGTCTTTCAAATCTGTTACTCTGTTAAACATGATTTGGGCATACAAATCTTGAGTAGTTCTTCAAGTATTCTTTCGCTCATTTAAATCCCACTTCTCGCCTCATAAAACGAACCAAAATCATGCCACTTTAATCTCAAAATCTTTTAATTTCAAGAGGAAATACATATACACACACAAATACTATTTCCCAATTGTTAACTAGAGACAGAGGATTGCGTGAGGAAATTCGTAAGATATAGCTAAGCGCTTATTGTCCGATGGCCCCAATTGTTCCAACTGCTTGGCGCCCACATATCAAACCAAGACCCAATTTGATATAGGAAACTGCATATTATGCAATGCAGCGTAACTGTTTCCGTAACTATAACCGTATCTGAATACAATAACTGAGAGCATTTCGAAAATTGTTTACCGGATACGCACTTAAATTGCCATTTGTTTAAATATATAATAAAATAAAATATAGATAACAGATATGAATATAAAATCAAATGATATACATGTATATTTGTTAATCCTGTTACTTGTCTGTGGTTGTTGAGTCTATATAGTCGAGATAATCCGATTAAGCAAGGTTCACACACAGATGAAGTCGGAAAAAAATTTTTTTTTAAGTTTGGCCAATTGCAGTTGTTGTTGTTGCTGCTGCTGATGCTGCTGATGCTGCTGGTGTTGTTTTTGTTTTTTGTGCTCTGCTGCCAAACAAAACAAATAATCAGTCGTCTTTCTATAACCTACCCCAAGTTTTTATGCAGTGCGCAATGTGCGAACTATGCGAAAATGCAAATAACTTCTAGAGTTAATAAATAAATTACAATTTGTATATATGTTCACTAATTAAATATGCCACTGCCGTATGATTAAGCTAATCGAGCTGCAAATGAATTTATCATTTCAGCTGAATATGCAACCGCCCGATGTCCGATGCCCGAAGCCCGATTGAAATGTGAGAAGAAACACGACTGCCGCCGCACTGTCTACTCGCCTCGAATGCTGCGTCCAAACTGAGCTGAACTGAACTGAATGGTTTGCCGGCAGCAGCGCATGTCGAATTTTCGAACTTTCGTCTTGTTGCGGTGCTTTCGAAGTGCGAACAGCCACAACTGTGTGTCGTGGTGCGAAAGCAATGAAATTTGAGGGAAATTTTATATGCCAAGCGCGGACACAACTTTGATGCTGGTTAAACGTGAGTTTTAGTGTTTAGAGTTTATGATATATATACCATATTGTAGTAAAGATTGTTATTTAAGTATAAACTATACAAAAATAACATATTTAGTATTGGGAATTATAATATAAGATGTTATAGTAGTAGTATAAACTTAGAATTGGTAGCAGAGATAATGAAGAACGGATTACAGAAGAGAAGTTGGATAGTGAAGTACGGAGAAGATTTAACAATTTCTATATATATGTTTGCGTTATGCATTTAACAAAGCAAGAAACTGTGTGTAGATATCCTTGACTTTGGCCTGTGATGTAATTAATCTATTAAGTCTATTTAGTATTGGAACCTATTGGTTCGTCGGTAATCAAAATCACTGGATCCTCACGAGTTATAGCCTGACAGGCGAAGACGAGGATAAAGTAAGGCACAACATAATTTTATATTACATGTGTTAGTTATATATGTGGATATCTTTTGATTTAATTATAGTTTTTATTTCAATTCACATTGTATTCCTATTTATAAATTGTAGGACAAGTAATTCCTCAGTCACTGAAGATTTTTAAGGTCTTCTGGATTGTTAACATATCTTATTCGATTCTGTGCTTATATATATATAAATATATATATTTTTTTTATTATAATATAAGATGTTAAACACAAATAAATTTTGGAGTTTTCGATAGATTTTATTTTATTTATTATACATGTAGACAAAGAAACTAAATAGAGGAACTAAAACACGGCTCTACGATTTACATCGAAACAATTTCAATTGACAATTGTGTAGTAGATACATATAAATTCAGAATTTACAGATGTAAACATTATGTATATATATTGTATATATCGTATATGTATATATGGTAATATATCGCTGTGGGATACCTTTAAGAATTTTAAATACATTTTATTGTCATTGCTTTCAATGGTTTATCTGCATTCCAGGACAGATTTTAGAATGCTTGTCTAAAACCCTACAAAGTACAAATGCCGTCTATATTCGCCTTGGTTAGATTAGCATAAATAAGTATATATATAAGTTTATATATATATTGTATATGATAAATGGTATGTATGTTGGGCCCACAAGTCTGAATAACTCGGACATCTACCTAAATTTGTATATTAACTAAAAAGATGATTAAGCAAATAATTTAAGCGAGATTCTAGAGGTATTTATATATATATTTATGTTTGTCTATAGGTCTCTAGAGGCCCGGCTTGGTCTTGTCCACGCTGGTAACGCTCACAGTGCTGCCATCCTCCGAGGAAGTGGGACTGACACTACGTGGCTCCGATACTGTTGAAATGGGACTGGCTATGCCGCTGGCAACTACATCATCTGTATTACACGGTATCTCCTGAAAGTCGCATTTCAATATAGATAAAATATCGAGCTTATAATCTATGACACTCACCTCATCAGCTTCGGTTTTGGTGGTCACGGCATCTGTCATACACTGTTGCGGCGGATCCTTTGCATTTTCAGCCCAGGCTTTCAAAAACTCCACCACATCGGAGTGGCAAAAGTTTTCGGCCTCATCCACGGGCAGATTACCCCATCGATCCTTGGGGTTGTGTGGCACATGGCACTGCTCCAACAAGAATTTGACACACTCCAAATGCCCTTCAGAGGCGGCCAAGTGTAGAGCCGTGCGACCATCGTAGTCGGCCAAGGTAATATCCATGCCGGACAGACGATGGCGACGCAGTGCAGTGACATCTCCACTGGCAGCAGAGAAGAGCAGATTGACAATGGATAAACCCTTGGTTTCGTAGCGATGCTTGCGCGGATCCTTCTTGTTGGACAGATGCTTCAGGTTGTCGTAGCGATGGAAATTAAAGGTGTTGACCAGCTCCTCGCAAAACTGCAGGCCACGCACCGTATTGCCCAGTTGGTCCAGTGGCGGCGACCAGGCAAAGATGCCCATCACATTTGGAATGACCAGCATCATGCCACCGCTAACGCCCGATTTGGCTGGCAGGCCAACCTTGAAGGCGAACTGTCCCGAGTAGTCGTAGGTGCCGCATGAGTGCATTATGGAGAGCACATCCCGTATGACTTCCGGGCGAAAGACCTTTTCCTCGGTGGTGGGACAAATGCCGCCATTGGCCAAGCTGGCGGCTATCACAGACATCGCTTCACAGTTCGTCTCCATGGAGCAGCACTGGAAGTAGTAGTCCATCACCTCCTTCAAATTTGTGCGCTTCGGGAAGCATTTGTTCTCGCGCATATAAAAGCCCAGAGCGTAGTTACGATCTGCTGCCTCGCGCTCCGAGAGAAAAACGGCATTGTTGAAGCCTATATACTCGCCGCCAGACAGACGCTTGAACCAGGACATGGTATAGTCAAAGATCTCCGCGGAGGTCATGTCCGGCTTGACCATGGCGTTCATCAGTGAGCAGGTAAGTATGGCACCTGCATTGATCATGGGATTGTGTGGTTTCTCTGTGGAGTAGAAGTTAATGTTAGTTAGATATTGACAGAGAATGCTCAATCATAACGTACTGTTCTGATCAAGAACGAGCTCATTAAAGATGCGTCCACTTGGCTCCTGGCCCACGAAAGAATGAACCACCTTGGGACCCAGTTTCTCTAATGCGATGGCATAGGTCAAAGGCTTGCTGCAACTCTGCAGTGTGAAGGGCTCGTCGACATCGCCAATGGAGAAACGTTGTCCGTCCACTGTGCAAACGCTGACGCCCCAAAAATGGGGACTGTAGCGCGCCAATTGGGGAATGTAATCGGCCAGTTTGCCGAGAGTATTGGACTTGCAGCGATGGTAAATATCCTCAATGTCCTTGACGAAGCTCGAAAAATCTGGTATGACAAACTGTTGACGGAATGCTTTGGCAATCAGCACAATATTCGGAGAGACCACACTGAAAGGGATAAAACATCAATGGAATGATCAGCGATTGGACTTAGTCTCGGCTAAACTTACGCCTTGAAAGTCTCCCTGTTCAGATGCTGACTCTCGGCAGATGAGCCCGTCTCATAGTTGTTCAGTTTGTGCACCTTCTTCAGATTATCCATGAGCTCGCGCACACGCGGATCATTGCGTCGAATGCCCGTGGTCTTCAGTCCGGCCAGGAATTTGCCCATAGATATGAGACCCGTCTCCTCGCTGGCAAACATGTCGAAGAGCACATCCTCAGCGTTGCGCTGCTCCTGCTCCCGATGACTAAACGAAAAGAGGGTGTGCGGAAAATCTTACACATTTGGCAATGTTTTGCTAATTGAAGGCGGGAACTTAGAATTCGTACACAAATATTTAGCATGCTTATGTGGAAAAAGCTAAAAGCTGCAACGGAATAACTCAAAAGCAACTACAAGTGAAGTTAGAAATAAAACCAGTTTGGTGTGGGCAGGTGATAATAGGATCAAACAAAAGTCTAGACCTGGCTACAGAGCGTCTAAATATAGACGCTGCCAGAGTTGCCAGGCCGCGTCTTGACCGTGTCAAATTGATCAAAAACAAAAGCCAAATAAATAAATAAACGAAAAGAAATCTCAATTATCAAATAAATATATGCATATATAGTTCTTGTCCGATTTCAATTAAGCTCAATTAATACACAAATTGAACGCGTCAAAAGTTATGACTAGAGTTGATCAACTAATATACATAGATATATTGAGGCACTATATCAACTAAAAGCGAGCGCTACAGATTCTTTTTTTTGTGGTTGTGTGGAACAAAACTGAATCGAAAAGCAGATAAAAGCACGGAGGGATACACAATCAAACTTTACTCACGGCCTTATCGAATAGTTGCGTCGCTGATTTCTAAGGAAATAAAATATACATATATAATTTTATATATATGTATATATATATATATATTTGTATATATATTTGTATATGTATAGTGGGTGTCTGCCATATGCTGTGTCATAAACGTAATTGTGGCCCGGGAGGGTGTGTAACTGTGTCTGTGTCTGTCTGCTATTTATATGATGTCCTACCCATAAAGCCGCGTATATACTTCTGTGTATCCTAGATATATACCCTGTAGCCTATATGTATTTCATATGAATCATAAATATTTATATCAAAAGGTGTCATACAGATGCCCTACATATACAATAGATTTGATATCCTATATATATTATATAGATACCCTAAAGATATCCTATGGGTATCATTCAGATATCCTATATATGACCTTTAATATACTTTATAGTTATCCTCCAAAGATATCCTAGCTCTATCTTATATATGTCTTAAATATACCCTACATATACGCTATGTATATCCTATATATAACATCTCAGTAGTCTGTACATGCCCTATATATTCACTATATATATCCTATGTAAGCCTTCGATCAAACCTCTCTATATAATTAATATAAGTATAATAAAATATATCCTATATATACACCATATATATACCATATAGGTAGCTTTGAAATGCCCTATATATGCCTATAAATACCCTATGTATACCTGATTATCGCGGATATAGTGCGCACTATGGTGCCGCGACGATTTTGCAGCGAAATGCCCTCGATGATCTCCTCGATCATGGCTGCTGTCTCGGTTGTCTCCTGTTCTTTGTCTCGCCTATAAATCTCCTCGCGCTCTTTGGCATCTTCGTCCTCGCTTTGAGGCTTCAGCGTAACTTTATCCTCCGTTAA